CCATACACATATAGATAATGTCTACTCAAGCCTCTAAGAAACCAGCTTCCAAAGCTCCAGCTGAAAAGAAACCAGCCGCCAAGAAGACTTCTTCTGGTGTTGAAGGTAAGAAGAGAACTAAGGCTAGAAAGGAAACTTACTCCTCTTACATTTACAAAGTTCTAAAACAAACACATCCAGATACCGGTATTTCTCAAAAATCCATGTCTATCTTAAACTCTTTTGTTAATGATATTTTTGAAAGAATCGCTACTGAAGCTTCTAAATTAGCTGCTTACAACAAGAAGTCTACTATCTCTGCTAGAGAAATTCAAACTGCTGTTAGATTGATTCTACCAGGTGAATTGGCCAAGCATGCTGTCTCTGAAGGTACTAGAGCTGTCACTAAGTACTCTTCTTCTACTCAAGCTTAATTTTGATATACTTTATCTTCAATAAAGAAATATAAAATATATATATTTCTTTCTCTTTGATGATTTTCTATTTTTTTGCAATAATATTATTTGGGTCATTTTAAAAAAAAACAAAAATTGTATAATAGTCTGTAACGATAAATTTTATAACTAATTTAATATAATATTAAAATTTATAAATAATGACAATATTTGATTTAAGATATCATAAGAAAAGATTTATTTCTTATTAACTTAATAGTGGGGTTTACCAAATAAATAAATAAAAAAATGGATTATCACTTCCATTTTTTTGTTTACTGAAGCAAAGGGAGTTGTAAACTGGTCTTTAAAGACCAAAACTATAAAAAAATATAAACTTGACAAAAATTTAACAAAATATTAAGAAAACTTCTGAAACCCTATTAATTCTTGTTCTAGTTTCTAATTGATTACTTGTACAATTAGACAATTAATTTCTATTATTATCTTAAACGTTTATCAATTTATATAAATGTTTAAACTTCAACATTAATATATATATATAGTTACATCGTTCAATTAAACTTGAAATCCGTCACGTGCTAGAATAGTTCAAGACCTGTAAAAACAAAACAAAACAAAATTGGTGTCAAAAAAAGCTACACTCAGCCAATGGATCCACGTGAAAGCCGCCAAATTACTAACAAGCTTACCTCTGATTGGCCAAAGACGTCAAAAGAAAAAGAAGAAAAATATAAAAATTTGTTAACGCCCCTCTCAATTTGTTTAGTCCGTAAAAAAATCCACAGAATCAATTAAATATTAAAATTCTGTAGTTTGATTAAGTAAAAAACCACTGTACAAATTGTCACAAACAGAAAATATTAAAACTATATTTGAGAATATTAAGTATTAACTCAAAATAACGGTTTCTCTTCCCCCAGAATTCAATATCATCAGATTTGGAGGACCCCAAAAGCAAGAAAATATAATATTTTAATATTTTTTTACAATAACAAGAGGACAAAGGAAGAAGAAATAGATTACAACGTCAAAAACACTATTTTATAAACATATACATAGTGATGTCTTAACGAATGGTAATAATAATGAAATAAACTAAAAACCATCAACTCTCTCCTATTACTTCTAGCATTTCTATATGGTCATCTCTCTTTTCCGAGAAAGTAATATGAGTACTTTCATATTACCTTGAATGTAAAATGTAGTCAATATTTACTTTGTGAATGATGGAATATACAATACATACATACGTAAGAATGAAAAAAAAGAGGCTGTCTTATATGTAGTAGAACCAATTTAAAATATCTCTTATGGGCAACCATCTCTCTTTTTGAAATTTTTCGGTTATCATTAATAATTCCCTTGTTTTCATACTTCAAATAATTAAAAAGCGAAGAGCTAATAAATATATATATATACAAGTATATTAAAAATTTAATTAAAAATTTCATATTTATTCCCTCAAATCATAGGTTTACTATAGTCTTCGAACTTTATTTATTTGTTATTAAGTTCCATTTAGAAGTTACTGATTATTGATAATTAAAGCATATTTTAATTTACAAAACTGACAATTCACTACAGTTTTTTAACTTCATTATTTATTTTTATTTTTGCTGTTTCATTGATTCAGATAAGAATTAACAACATTATTTATTTCTCATTAGATACTACAGTTTGATTAATTTATCTTTTGTCATCAAATACTGGAACAATATCAAATTTTCTTTAATTTATATTGAGATTGCATAATAATACATAATATATATTAAGCAAGAAAAATTAAAAAAAAAAAAATCAAAAAAACCAAAAGTCATTTTTGGGTGATTACAAATATTAAACTCTCTCATCTCACACCAACAAAGAGAGATAAGAAAAACAAAAACGTAAAATTGAGTAATATAGAATATAAACGCAAACATATTAATATATTTCAATTTTATTATTTTATTTATTATTAAAAAAAACATTCAAGTTTAACCTTTTGCTTATAAATTTCGTCAAAAATTGATTATCGCTACACGTTATCTAAATAACATACTTTGTAAGAGAAATTATTAAAAATTCACAAATAAGAACAAAACATGGCAATTGTAGCAATAAAAAATGCTGTAAAAGCATTTGTATCTTCTAAATCAGATAACGAACAAGAATCTCCACTATTAAATGAGTCAAGAAATAACAATAATAACAATATGTATGGATCGAATTCTCGTGATTTAGAACAACATATTATACAGTCAAGTGATAAATCTATTTCTTCGGAAGATAATCATAATGCCTCATTAACACATAGTATATTTAGTTCTGTAGACCCTAGAGTCATTAGTGATTTAATTATTGGTTTAAGTGATGGTTTAACTGTTCCTTTTGCTTTAACGGCAGGTTTATCTTCTCTTGGAGATTCTAAATTAGTTATCACTGGTGGGTTTGCAGAGTTGATTTCTGGTGCTATATCAATGGGTTTAGGTGGCTATCTGGGTGCTAAGAGTGAATTAGATTATTATAAATCAGAAGTGAAAATAGAAAGAAAGAAATTTTTTGAAGATACAACTATAGTAAATCATGAAGTTGAAGATATTTTATTAAGCATTAATCCAAATTTCAGTGAAGAGACGATTGTTTCATTTATAAAGGATCTTCAAAATGATCCAGAATTAATGTTAGAATTTTTAATTAAATATGGAAGAAATTTAGAAGAACCTGCTGAAAATAGACAATTAATTAGTGCTGTAACAATTGGTGGTGGATATTTATTAGGAGGATTTGTACCTCTATTCCCATATTTTTTCGTAGATAATGTAGGCACAGGTGTTCTTTATTCTACAATCCTAATGGCTATCACATTATTTATATTTGGTTACTCTAAAGCACAATTATCAATGGGAGAAACTGCTACACCATATAAGAAGACAGTCGAAGGTGTAGAGATGATGGCAGTTGGTGGTATCGCAGCAGGTGCAGCTTGGTACTTTGTCAAATTATTGGGGTAAGAAAAATATTCACGGAAATGATACTATATACTAATGTGCATTTGCATCTTCAAAAACAAGAAAGATATAAAGGAACGTCCTTAAAAGGTTAAACTTAATAAATATAGTGGTCCGCCTTTGTAATATGGATTTTTATCACTTCGTTATGTTATCCACAGAATATGTTAAAGACGACTACCAAATAATTACTCATCGTTTGAACATAGTGATAAACACATAAAGAAATACATCATATTGACACAATCTTACACATAATATCTCCTATAGAAATAACTAAAATAATGATAATGGTTATACATACGTTCGTATAATATTTGCGTTGAGTTATTTCTTTCTTACAAAAGTCATAATAATCATAGCAAACAGAAGTATCCCCTTTTTTAAATTTTGATAACGTTCATAGAAGGACTTATTTTATAAAAGTTTAGGAAATTATATACATATATATACATGCACATTTAATTTTATTTCCACTCGACTTATTTCTTTTGTTTTATTATAAATTATTTGGATTCACTTATTTTTTTAACTATAGTCACTATTATCATTATCATTATTATTATTAATTATTAGGCATTAATCGAAATTCATAAATCATTATGTGAATAGTAATGAATTAGAAAAGTTGGCAGTACTGAAAGAAAAAAACAAACTGTTGAAGAGAGGATGGGTATTTTAATTGAAAGGTTTCAAGATAAGTTAAAAAGTTGAAACATAATAACGAATGAGGATGGACTTGAAGACAAATACGGATTTGTTATCATGAATTGATTACAATATCACTAACTGATAAAAGTGGCTTCAACAATAGATGTACCCTTTTCACCTCTGAATTCAGCTTGTTGACAATATTGATACAAATATGGTTTTATATTGGCAATAGTTTCTGCAGCTTTTCTAATTGCACTTGGTAGTTCACCTAGAATATCAAATCTGTTAACCATATTCATATTCTTGATTTTCATTTTATCACCATTCATGAAGTCAAATTTCACAGTGGTTGGATATTCCCAACCTGTTTCCTTATCCACTTCAACTTCTTTATACCTGACAATTCTTTCATTATCTATTTGAGAACCAATTGAGGTCAATTTATCACCTTCTGATATACTCCAAATAGAAACAGTAACGCTACCATATTCTTCAGTAGTGATGAACTCCATTAAAGTTACAGTATAAGATTTACTCTTAAAACATAAGAAATTCCACATACGTGCAGCTTTATTAGGTAAAAGACCCTGAACAGCATCAATGTAAACCACAGGAACCTTCACCAAATTAATTTCTAATAAATCATCACCTTTACAATATTCAATATGACCTTCGCAGTAACCATTTGGCATAAATAAATGTCTCATGTATTTTTCTGATGTTCTACCAGATCTCTTAATGTTTGCAAGGGTATCTTCCTTGAAATTGATTTCTTTATCTAAATAGTAACTACAACCGCTTGGACTAATCATGAACCCATCACCTAAATAAGCTTTCAAGTGAATAATTAGATCCTTCTTTGGAATCTCGACATCAATATCCAAATTAGCATAATATTTGGTATTAGTCTTCTTCTTTGGATTTTTAGTGAATGAAATACTTGTCTTTTTACCTTTAGCACCCAAATAAACATAATTTTCACTCTTACTAGCAGATTTGACAAATTCCATGTCACTCAATTTATAAGTTTCCCATATTTCAAAATCATTAGCAACTTCCTTCTTATGACTGAATATCTTAAAATTCAATTGGAAACCTCTATAAAATCCACCAAGGACATGGGAATATAGAATTTGAATAAAACCAGACACACCACTATCAAGATCAGTGAAATATAAAGTTTGTGTTTCAATTTTTGAATCCAAAGATTTTTTTATTTTTAAAGCACTGGATTTTTCATAACCATCCTTTGGAACTTTCCAGGAAAGATCAGATAATTTGTTAACCGTCTTGTAATGACCTTGAGCTGGAGGAATAACCTCATAAATTGGAATAAAATTTGTAGATGGCATATTAAAAGTTTCACTTTTCAGAACTTTTGATCCTAAACTTAGAAATTGGTTTCTTGTAATTGATAAATGGGGAACTAATCTCAAAGAAAGTTTCCCGATGTTTCAATTCTTTATTAATTTGATTCTTACTTACAACAAAAGAAGTTAATTAAACAAAATTGAAATCAGATTATGCAACAAACAACTTATAAAAAAAATATGTTTCGAGATCAACATCGAGAAAAAAGTAAATAATATTTATATCTAAAGAAACAACACCCAAAATAGGAGTATTATTATTAGTATTATATAATACGGTCCATATTCAATTCCATAGATCATCAACGCTGTAATTGGATCAACCGAAGAGAGGGATTAAACCTGACATATCGAGAATTCACAGCCCGAGAGATGAATACAGAAAGGGGTTAAAAGTTTGTAAGAGAAGGAAAGAGTGTGTCAAGTCCATCATCGGTTTCTGAATATTAGAAAGATATTAAGTGGGTTGGATGGATTACACTACGTACAGATCAAGAGTTCGTCAGTAACCATAAACGGTAACAATTCAATTGAATTACGAATGCATTCTCTGCAATTATGAGAGACTTTGTTGTAATTACTTCATACGTATTTATGTATGCTTATTCCCAATGAAAGACCCAAAACAGGGTAAAAATATATGTATGTACAATTGTATACATTTTGCCTTGAACAGTATCTTAATTAGGTTGTTTAAATTACTCAAGCGGTTATTATTCATCTGTTTCTTTATACTTCTGTATCTTCGTATTATTAGGTTGTACTGTAACTGTTGGTTTAACCTCTTCTTTAATCCTGTGTGCTTTTTCTTAGAAGGAAGTAACTATTTTATGTGCGTACAAACCATGAGTATACATACAATAAATTCTACTAGATTTTCGTAGTGGAAACAGAAACACTAACCGAAGAACGAAACAGATTATTTTGCAGTTACATCAGCTTTTGTCTCTCGTTTGAGAGAATTTCAACAACAATCACATCGATTTTTCTCACTGCACTTCCAAACAGAAGGTTCTTCTCTTTCTATGCTGATACTCTATATGGTGTTCTTCAATTTTTATGATTGTCTGATAAATATTCTCACCGAGCCATATCTATTCACCTAAAAACTTGATTAACCTATTATGGCAAATGTAGAACACCCCGGGATTTTTGGTTTAGTTTAAATCCAATGCCTCTAAATAAGTCTATTTCAATCTTAGTATCCTTGACGTAATAATATACGTATACTTTGCAAAGTGTGATATAACAATTAAGTAGAGCGAAAAACAAACTACAAATTGGCACAAATTCAGATCACGAGCCCTTAAATATCTTGGACCCTTCTGTAATAAAGTATGTAAGGATGATCATTTGCTCTATCTTTCATATTGATAATTAAGATATATATGAAATTATGTGATTATTTCCTATATATTTATACTGTTTTTATCTTAGCTTATGAAGAAAGTGGAAATTGTAAGTTACAACCTAGAGGTCCACTGGCATCAATCATGTAGCTACATTTGGTCATCTCATAAACTTTTTCAATGGCGAATGTTTCCGAACATTTCATAAATACCTTAGCAGATCTTTGAGGACCATTCCAACACTTATCACCATTGACATATTCAAACACTAAACCGTTATTAATCTTATCCAAATCATCAAAAAGATATGTTCTCTTTCCAACAGTTTCATTGTCACTATAAAGATGGGAAACGATATCATCATCACCATATTCAAGTTTAATATGATCAGCGAATTTCGCTAAATTAATATCATGATCCAAATATATTTGATTTAGGGTACCAATATTAACAGCATTACCATTTGGTTTATCCTCAAATTGGTGAACGGCACCTGGTGTCAATGGGTTTAAATTAATATAATACTTGTAATTATCGAGGACCTCGGTAATAGTACCACTTTCCTCATCCATCTTTTCTACTAATTCTGTAATCTGCCTCAACATTGCTTGATCTACTTTACTTAGACCTGTCTCCTTAGCTGAAAGATCCTCCTGTTCTAACATCTTCATCAAAATGCCATGCTCGGCTTTTCTTTCTCTTATAGAGGATTCAATCTCTGCGATTCTAACTTGATACACTTCAATTTGTTCTTTCAGAGATTCTAAGTCTGTACTCAAAGTACCATAAGGAGAATTTTCATTATTATAACGTCCATTATTCAAATAACTTCCTTTTTCTTGATGATGAAAGCCACCTTCCTCATTATCCTCTTCAGCATCCATTAATAATCTTGGAACATCCTCTTCAATTACATCAACTAGATGATTATACTCTTTAACGAATTTAGATGGTAACTCATATTTCTCAGCATTACCCAAATCTGTATATCTGGAAAGATAATTCTTATACGCATCAACTGCGGTCAATGTACCAACATCCTGGAAGTTAACGTTGTAGTTCTGAGATATATCATTCATTAAGGTAGAAAACTCTCTAATATAACCTCTTAAAGTTTCCATATAATTTGCTTTCCCATCAACCATTGCCATAACAAACTTAGATTTCTTGACGACATAATCTGATGGAAATTCTGATTCTCTTTCCCAAAAAATTGTAGGTAACTCTTCATCAAAATATTGTAATAATTGTTCAAGTTGTTCCAAATCAGTCTCTGGATCAGCAATGACCTTGGACATCTCTGGACGACGCATTAATTTATCGAATTCATCCATATTATCATTAACTACACGATCGTTTAGTGACTCAGTGTAAGAGAAAGATAAATCTTTTAAGATTTTAATCAGAGCTTGATATGCTCTACTTGTGGATTCAATAGCTGAATATATTTCTTTAATTTCATTAGTCAAATAATTTAAATCAATTTTTTCAAAATTTAGTAACAATGGGTTATCATTTTCAAGTCTTTCAAAAAAGGAGTCCTTATTGCTCTTCAATAAACTTTTAATGTCTTCTAATTCATCATTTAAACTTTGAATATCTGTCTCTATCATTTGTTTCTCAGTTTCTGGTTCATTATTTTTTTTATTTTCATCATCTAAAGGATTAGAAACCTTAAATTTTTTCAATAATTCATAGAATTTTTTTTGACCATCCTTATAACCCTTTAATTCTGTTTCACTAATTCTATCGAATACTTGAGAAAGTTCCCTACATGTATTACCTTCTGATCTAGGCAATTTCTCATCTGAACAATCACAACAATCACATACACCATCACCAACTAATGAACCTCTTATATACCTCGGTTTAAAACCTTCATTTCGACAGTAAAATAACCTAGATTCAAGGGTATCTGGACAAGCCGCCGTACCGGGTTCATCAGATCCATCAGGACAATCACAGATACCATCATTTATTTGACTAAAATCAATTTGAATATTACTATCCGATAAACAGGCCCATTTTCCATCCTTTCCTGTTTTATATATTTGATAATCCTCAGGTGCAACACCTAAAATATCCTGTGCCTTAATCACACGTAATAGAGGTAGAAGCCAGAACAACGAATATTTGGTTTTCATAATCGGACTAGACTTGAGGTATGCCTTCTTCTTAGTATGATATTAATTTAACTATTATAAATACCTTTTAACCGAAAAGCAATAAGGTCAAAAAAGAATAAAAGATAACAAATTTTCATATAATTTCGAATATTTCCACAGATACCCCCGTATTAACTCTTTATGGCTTAGCTTGTTAACAATTTCTCCTTTAGTTTCTTCAATTTTAAAGAAAATAATTTTGATCCAAAAAATCACGTGATCAGGCCGGGTAATATCCATGCACTTCAGTTTTTTTCAAATAAATTTTTGTGTGTTTATACAATTTCCTATTTGGGTTAGCATTTACCAGTTTAGTTGGTTGTGCTGGTTTGAGAAAACAGGGTTCCTCTTGCTAAGGAGAAAAAATTTAGAAACTAACATGACTTCTTGGGAAACATCAAAGAATGATGAGATGTTCTATGCTTTCATACTATCAATAACTTTTGTTTTAGGAGGTTAAATAGAGTTTAGTAATCGACTAAGCACATATAAGCACACAGTTACAGCACTTTTCCAAACTTATTGGACATTTTTTTAATACTTTCTTTATTTCAGTAAATATAAAGAGGTTACTTAGCTAACAACACTACAAATTTGGGTTTATACCTATTTACAACATTATTGACAATAATAAATTATTAATAATTGTTTTTTTACTATAATATATTACTATCGAATGTCCTCTTTCTCAGCTTCCAAGAAATCGAATAGAAATTCATTGAATTTTCCGCTGACTATTGTATTACAAATATTTTCTTATTTGGAGATTGATGAATTGACTGAACTTTATGAAACTTGTACATTTTTCCGTGTGCTAATACAGAAGTCAAAACTTTCACCAGAATGTTCTACAGTCGGTTTAATAGAAAAACCAAAATTAACTTGGGTAATAGAGAAAGAATTACAATCAAATAAGTACAAGACTAAAAATATGGGAAAAATTGTTCTTTCATATGTTAAAGCTATAAGAAAAGTGAACGAACAGATAAAAGAAATGGAAGAAATTCAACAAGAGATAAATATAACGGAAAATCAAGAATCTCCAACGTTGTCGACATTATCACGTTCTTCAGTAAATTCGTTATTCTCTGATGATGAATGGAACTTTTCATTAGATGAGTCTCTACCATCTCCTGTTGTAAAAGAAGACCCTAATCTACATAATATTGATAAAATGAAAGACACAATGAAAGTAAAGGAGAAAGCTTTATTATTTGAAAGATTGATGTCTCATGAAAATGAACTTCAAATACCGAAGAATCCAAAACAATTACAACAAAATGATGCTCTATACGAGAGATTTAATGGACTACAAAATTTAATTCTCCCCAAATCTAATAATAATAGAAATATCGCTGACCAATATTTAATGAAAGTCAGAGAATCTGAAACCCAAAATACATATATTCCAAACAAAACTGTAAAAATTCATAAAGAAGAACTTCAAAATAAAAGTTATAACAACAACACCGATAATAATAATAATAATAATAATAATAATAATAATAATAGTAATAATAATAAACTCAACTTTTCACAAAAGTATCAACAACACCTAGAGTCAATGAAAAAATCGACAGTGATAAATTCTAATTTTAAGTACAGTGACAGCAAACCTATAAATCACAGTACGAACATTAAGGACTTGTATGAGAATAAAATTATTAACCAAAATATATAGCAATCTCATGCATCTGATACATAATTTTTTTATTATCTTATAAAGAAAATATATAATGTGAAACGATTTAGTTATTTATGATTAATAGTTCTGTCTATTTGGTCGATTTTTCTTTTTTTTACCCTGTACGACTCTACTTTCTTTATTCTCTATTATGCGTCTTCGAAGTTCTTTTTTTCCCCTTATTTGCTTAAATGACACAAATTAATAATTGTTTTTAGAAATGATATTTTAACAATAAAACATTTATCAAAAGTTAAAAACGATAGTTAACATCATAGATACATCCCTGAACAAGAATGAGGACTGCCGAGGAGCTTTGTAGAAGAAAGAATTCTAAACAAGTTATTTATTTTAATTTGTTGTTGTTGGGACAGCCTGGTATAGGAAAACATACTTTTTTAGAAAATTTAGTAAATAATAATGTTGATTCTGAAGTAGTTAAACTGAAGTCAGAAAATGTTAATCAAAATTTGTTTCATGGCCCAGTATTTGAAAGATCAATTGTCAAAATTCGAAATGAATTAACGCCATCAATTATTTTACATGTTACATCATGTGATACTGTGACTCAATTAAATAATTCTTCAACCCCAAAAAGGATAAGAGAACATATTGAAGCCCAGTATAATTTGTTTTTAAAAGATGAATTTAAAGTATTAAGAAATCAAGAGTACAATAGAACAGCCGATAAACGACTTCATGCTTGTATATTTTTTATAGATGGAAATGCCAAAGGATTACAGATGCTAGATATTGATATATTAAGTGAAATATCATCATTAATTAATATTATCCTTGTAATTGGTAAATCTGACAGATTTAATGATAAAGAAGTAGAAATAATAAAGAAACGGGTAAATGATGATATAAAGAGTAATAATATTAAACTTTTTGATTTTAATGATGATTATTTGGATGACATATTTGAAGAAAGTGAACACAAATTAATAAAAGATTTTCAACCATTCACTGTTATTCTTGGAAATAAGATGGTAGATGATTCAGATGAATTATATAGAGATAATTTATGTTCTAAAATTATGGTAGAGGATATTAAATCATCAAATTTTTCGTTTCTCAAAGGTATTATTCTAGGATCACATATTCAAGAACTTCAGTCCTCTACCAATAATTTTATTTATGAAAAGTTTAGGACAAAAAAATTACTCGAAAAGCAAAATGAAATTAATATAAAGAGAGATTCTGGGGAAGGTGATGCCATTGAATTCACTAGGGAATTTAGTGCCTCACCAGCATTATTCCGAGTCAACCCTTCGCCAACTGACATAGATTTAACGCCAGATTGTGAAGCAGTTGTTGGGAAAGAACTTCACGAAAAGAATAGAATAATCGAAGCGTACCAAAAGAAAATCGATGATCTGGAGAAAATACTTCAAAACTCTAATGATTCTTCGCCCACTACAAAAGTAACTTTGTGTGACCTCGAGAGAGCTATTTAAATAAATACATATATTCGCGTTATTTCCGTCTGTCTTCTAGCTTATTACGCCATAAATTCGGTAAAGTTATAAAAAATCTTTATAAAATATCTAACAGTATTAGGATTTTTTTCTCCCTTTTATATATTCTAACCAATCATTTATTAAAATTCTAGAATGTTCACATTTTAATGTTCCATAGGTAATGTCATATAGCAACGAAATCATCTTTTTTAGATATTGACACTGACAATTCGCGATTTTTTAGTTAAGGCGATCGTTAGAAAAAAATTATATAATTTAAATATGATAGCGATGCGATGACTTCTGCGTATCTATTTTATTTATTCATTTGTTATTCTAACCTTAACTTGACACTTATTGATCAACAAACAGATTTCTCAACAAAGAGAATTATTTATAACAGTTTTGAAAAATAATTGTCTACGAAGGAAACACACACAATCCTGTCAATGATAGAACTTTGAAAACAAACCATTGAACGTTTTTCCTTATCTTTGACAAATTGATGAGATGCATACTGAAACAAACGGTAACATAGATCATACATGGAGTGAAATATCTAAAGATACACCCCAAGAAGCTACGGCCAGAAATGATGGGAAAGGAAATTACGAAGGAGGAGAAAATTCCGAAATAGATGTCACTACATTTGATAAAATAACGACAAACATTATCAACAGCTCCATTAATAAGCCTCAAAAAGAAGACGAAGATGAAAAAAATGAGATCCAGGTTCAAAATAGCCAAAAATACCCATTCGAGAATTCTATTCCTGAAAATCAGTCATCTCCGCATATACGAACACCAAGACTGGATAAGTTACGAAACTTCTTTAAAGAAAACAGGAGTCCCACCAAAAGAAATAGTCCAACAAAGATAAAAGAAAAGGAGAAAAAAATTGAACCTCCACTAAGTAATGACCCTTTGACATTCAAAATCTTAGAGAATGAGATAAGTGAGAATAACCTGGATACACAAAATATCAAAACTGGAACAATTAAACAAGTTATACAATCCGAAGTAACCGACAAATCGGATATGGGAATCATATTGGAAGGTTTTGATAATTCACCTCCAGATACACCAGAATCCCAAAGAGTATTACCTGATTCGAATCTAAAAGAAATTAAAGAACTTATTGGAACTAATGATAATGACTTAGAGACTAAACCTGTATCATCTATTGATACACAGTTTTTAACGAGTAACATAAACGAAAATGCAGACCTTACTACACAGCCCATAAATCCCGTCGAAACAGTAGAAAGTTTGAATAGGGTATCGTCAATTAACAGTAATGGAGAGACGTTTACAAAGATAAGTATGCACCGAAACCAATATATGAATTTCAAGATAACTCAAGACAACCAAGAAGTCAATCCTGATATGAGGTCACTTGGGTCCACTGCAAATAGTAATCTCAATATAATGTTCGATGATGTAACGAATGATGATGCCAATATTTCAAATCATTGGCAATTCAAAAAGGATTCTAATGGAGAAGATTTGGAAACATATAACAAAACAACTCAGTTAATAGACGCTCAAACTCAGAAAGTTCCAGATCCTAACAACACAACCACAGCAGATACTAATGCCAATCCACAACCTGGACCAACAACCTCTACCCAAGCTGATATAACTCCATTATCAAAGGAGACCGCTTTAGGAAGTACCAATTTAGTCTCTGAAAAACAAACTACATCAACTATATCCAACTCATCTGTCGATCTTGCAAATAAGACGACTGACCTTAATAGCGACGGCTCTAAAATAGATGCATTCATGAACGTTGTAACTTCGCATGATATCATCGATTTACCTCAGAAAGATGAAGATAATTCTGATATTATTAACAGATCAAATCTTAAGCAGATTCCGGAACTTTCAGAAAACAGTTCGCCAACTAAGTTAGATCAAGAAATAAATGGAGTAGAGCCATTAGAAAAATCATTGTCCTCTATAGGTTCACCTAAGCTGGTATCTGACTCCAAAGAGAAAAGGTATTTGAAGGTCTCATGCGAAAGGGATTCATCTCCATTAATTGAAAAGCAAATCAAGTCTCAAAGTCTTGATTCCGAAAGAAACAACGTTATTATGAGTGATGTTGAGATAACACAAGAATTACCTGAGGTTCCTGAATTATCCGATCATGATATAGATGATTCACAAAGTATTGTGATTGGAAGAAAGAAAACTAAAAGATATATTCCATCTTTGCAACTAAGTGAAGAAAACGAATTTTCACAGGACCAATCGGTTAATGGGCAATATACAAAAAGAGAATATCCTATCGCTAAAAGAGATTTTGACGATAGGCCACTTACAAGGGAAGATATTATTTTTGAAAATGCAGTTTGGTGCCAATATGTGAATTTTCATTATTACCCCGGGGTGATCCAAAATAGAGATTCGTTCACTAATAAGTATGACATTATTTTTGATAGGGATAGATATAGCGCAGATCAAGAACAACTCTATTACCTCGATGTAATAATTGGAGATATTGTGAGATATAAAACACATAGGTATGCTATCGTAGCTTTGGAATGCCAAAAACCAGATCCTTCAATAATTAGATGTATCCGTGGCTATGATACGGTATACTTGAAAAAGAAGGATGGACCATCACACCCCAATGAGCCAATAATTATCCCTATGTCATGGATCCAACTCGATTTGGACGATTGGACAACACGGAAAAGAATGCCACTGAAAGTTACCAACAAGAGCGACCAGTCAACTGATTCACCTAAATTTACAAAAACTAAGAAACGTGTCAGCAGAGTTGGGACTAAAGGTTCCCCAAGAAAAAGAAAAAGAGTGAATTATAAGGAGGACTCTGACGATGAAATCAAAGTAGCCGATGAGAACTTTGAGAATAGTGATTTCAGTGCTGCTTCTAATTGCACAACTGATGAAGAAGGGATTGAAACAATGATCACTGAAGAAGAATGTCCCCTTGTGAAAAGGGTGGGTAGCACAATTTCTCAAATAATGACAAAATCTTCCAATACTGATGATATAGAAAATACCATCGCAATTAATGTCGCTCAAAAAGTTCAAAATAATCCAAATGCCATAATAACGAGTAGTACCAGCGATGTTTCAAAGATATTCGACGGATGTGTCTTTGCTTTTACAGGCTTTAGAGAAGTAGGGTATGAGCTAAAGGACACAATAATTAGATACGGGGGTGATGTGATTGATTTAGGATTTTCAGATCTTTTTTCTTTTTCCACACAAAAGAAACGAAGTAATATACAAGAATTTAACTTAGGGATGAGGTGGAAGAATGGCACGGCCTTTCGAAATTATCGATTTGCTTGCGTTATCGCAGATAGGTACCTTAGAAGCTCAAAATATCTAGAAACATTGGCTCTCAAATGGCCAACATTACAACGAAAATTTATTGATGAATGTATATTTGCTAACAAAGTTGATGATAGTATTATACGTCGTTATCTACTGCCATCCGGGGAAAGCTCGAGACTGGATGACCTACCAATCTCGTCATTCATAAAATCAAACAATATTTTCCAATTTTTAACAAATTACCTGAAAGGCGAAACATTAGATCAACAAACTGGGCTGTCAAGTAAGCTTATGGGCGAGTTTGCGGTCATTATTTGTAAGGATTCTAATCTAACAGATTTTGCCAAATTTGTGTTTGCATGTTTTGGAGTGAAAAGATTATTCCAAATTCCCAATGTAGGTTATTTAAAATCTACTAATGAAAATTTTAATGAAGTACAATCAATTCTGAGAGGTATCAAAGATGAAGAACTCAAGACGCTTTTTTATCTGAATAACGGTCAAGATCAAATCCAAACGTCAAAATCAATACAGGATATCCAACATGATATTGAAACTGGGCTTGCCAACGTCGGTGAATATTACGTCAAAGATCGGGAGTGGCTCATCCAAACTATTATAAATGAAGATACGGGATTGTCTTAAGTATTAGAATTTTTTTTTATGTAATATCTATACGTATTAAATGAATAATTCTATCATGGATAATAAATTATCGCAGTTGTTAAATATGATGATGTAAAAATATGTAGCAAATAATTGTTATTATCATCATTATCAATGTGATGATATATGCAGGGTAATGTTACATTATATTCGTTTAAGAATATTAAGAAGCAATATGAAACTTTGATAAAATTGTCTCATTAATTTTGAGATTCAAAATTTTCTCTAAGGAAGCAAAATCGTTGATCATTTTAGTTAGTAAACTATATTCGATATGTGATTCAATAATACTAGCAAATAAACATTTTGCAATGATTGCATATTTTAGCGACAAATGATATCTAAGGGCGAAACTTTGTTTTTTCACATCATCTTCTTGATGACCCTCTTGCAAGTATGAACCGTCCATGTTTTGATCGAGTGGGTAATCTATTTCAGTTAAAACATTGTTAAGATCAATATGGTTGGATATATTAGCATTTTCATTGGATGATTTTCCAAAATCGAATAAAGTTTTAGCATTTTGGTTATGCTCAAATAAGAATTCATTATTTGTTTGTTCAGCCATATTTAAGAAGGAGGCATCATTAAATGAATAAACAATGACATCGTTAATGATCTTCGAAATTCTATCAACATTTACCATTTTAGATGTTGCTTTGCTTGGTAGAACTGAGCAATCGTTGAGCCCATTAAGAGACGTATTAAGTTCTTCAAATCTCTTAAATTCTTTTGGATAAATGGCAGCTAATTTTGGAACTAAAATTTGTGAAGCTAGTTTATTTAATTCATGAAAAATGGAGAGCAATTTGAAATTTGGAGTTTCTTCGAAGTCTACTATGAATTTAATAATAACCAAAAAATTATAATAAATTCCTTTGAAATTGAATATAGAGAATAATTCCTCATCTAACTCTACGTGGTTAGTTACACTGTCAAAAACCGACAATCTAGAAATATTTTGGATAGAAAAATTTAAAGCCACTAAGAAATCAGTTAACAACGTAGAAGATCCACCTTTCAATAAATTTAAATTTTCTGGGTTTAGAAAGTAATCATATATGGTATCAATATTACTTGTGGAAATATTAATTTTTGAATTTGAGGAGGCTACTTCAAAAAATTGCATTACCATTAAACAATTTTTTAGTAAAATACTATCTAAAACCAAAGTTTCTGAATCCACCACCATATTATGACTTAGATCATTTGGATTATCTACAGTTCTATCATAGTTTGAATTGTTCTTGTTGGTTAATCTGTAACCTGTGGTAGTTAATTTCAAATTAGGTAAGTTTAGTTCTAATTTCTTAGTATCTATTCTTGTCAAAAAGATATGGAAGGAAGATGATTTCCTTGTATTATATTCATAATATAACATTGAACCTGCTAAATCTTCAGGAATTGCATGCAAACCTCTTTCATTAAACGAAAAACTATGATAAAAAAATATAAATGGAACGGAATTTTGTTTCTCAACTGGGTTCATATCTCCATTTTTGTTAATACCGATATTTTCTGTGTTCAATAATGAGTGTGATAACCATTTATTTTCTCTATCTGGGATGCATAATTGTTCAATATCATTCTCAAGTAAAAATGAGTTTGATTCAATATTGTAAAAAATCTTTAAGTATTGGCAATATCTATAAATCAGCAAAACACATCTAATTTTAGTTTCGAATAAGATATATTCAGATTGAGATCCGAATTTAAATCTTTGATTACTAGAACTAGTGTAACCGACATATACCAATTTTAGAATATTTTTTTTAATGATTGAACATACTGCAGATACCTGTCTTTTGACTATTTGATCATTCATATGGTGTGATTCATCTGCAAAGAAACCAAAAATAATATTTAGTATTAAAACTTGAATTAACCATGTGTTTTGAGCAGGTTCCGAAGATTCTTTAACTCCATTCGAACTAAAAGTTTCTCTCTTATCCTGAAAATCTCTTTTCTTGCATTCTAAATAAACTTGAACAGATCTTCTACTAATTTCAAATAAATTCAAAGTTGTAGCATTATACCCATTCTTAAATAAAGAACCAAATGTAGCCATCAATAGTGGTAGACAAACAGTTCTAGCGGCGAATAAACTGCTATTCTTATTTTTCAAGTCATTAATTTGTTCCTTAGATAACGATTCATCTTCTTGAAGATATTTTTGAAAGGCTGTAAAATCTAGACGTAATACACTTGGATGAATAAATGGATAATGTCTTAAAAAATGAGTTTCAAAAACCATCAAATAAGTATTCATCTCATTAACACTTGGAATAGTTAAATAATCTGAATTTGTTGAAGATTGATGGTTGAAACTGACTTGAGCCTTATTATCCCAATGAATAATATAATGATCTAATACCTGATAACAGTAATCTCTAATAGTCTCTGTGAATAAACTACAAGTAATTGGTTCACGTTCTGCATGATCTAAATTGTTTGTGACAGCAGTTTCAGTTGCGTTTGAGATACTGGCAACGTTTATACTATCTAAACCGTAAAATGTATAACCATTATCCTCTGGAATACTTGCAGTAGAATCAATCCTATTATTTGAAGGATCATCATGTATATTTTTAATAATACTCAAAGGATCACTTAAAGTTGTATTACTACTGGTTGTTCTACCTTCATCATTACTATTAACAAAATTAGTAAAATCTGAAAAGATATTATTTGAATTGAATAAGTCCATATTTTCATTTGAATTTAAATTCATAAAATCAGTAGCATTTGAATAAATTGGATCCACATCAAGAGGATCTTTTTGTGGAACCGGAGTACTGATTGACATTAAAATATCAATAACATCTCTTGGTGAACTGTTGCTATTAGAATCATGAATATTTTCCATCACTGATTCTTGATTCATCAAAGTTGTAGAGTTTCTATGCTGTAATGTCTTTAAAGGATCCATTGGTCCCATCGAATTATCATCAGTAGAACGACCAGAGAAATTAGACCCGGAAGCAGATCCAGAAGTGGATCCGAAGGCAGATCCTGGAGAACGTGCGGCTGAATTTAAAGTTCTAAAATTTAATTGTTGTGAAGATATATCATCAGTTCTTAATTCAGAAACGGAATCTGATGAAGAATCTTGATTAGAAATATCATTGTTATTAATATAATCCACTGCATCAGTTAAACAGAATTCAGGTGGAACTTCATGAATATTACTTAAATTAGTAATTGGTGTTCCAATTGTATCACTTAGACTAATTATATCAATATCATCATTTGGTAAAGTATGATTCCAAAATGATCTAAAATCTATTGGTAAAAGATCAGGAGTTGAAAATTGAACTCTTTCATATTGATATTCATCAGTCTTAAATAAAGGTGCCGCATAATTTTCTGCAGATAATGCACTAAACGATGCTCTTCTTGTTAAATGATGTGATTTTAATTTAGTTGATTTTCTCATTTTTTTATTCTTAATTTTTTTATTATTATTATTTTGTTCAGTTGGAGATGTAGCAGATCTTTGATTTGAATTTGAAAATGATATTTTATTATTGCTAATTGAATTTCTTGAATTTTTTCTTCTATTTCTTGAACCAACTGGAGTTAAATAACTTGGTTCTCTAAATATTGGTCTTGAAGAAGATGAAGAATTATTATTTGAAGATTGTCCCGAAGTTGAGGGTTGTGATGAAAATAAAGAAAAGACATTTGATGGAGAATTACTGTATGGTGTTGTTCTTGCTGTAATTTCAACAGCAAATGGTGAAGATAAATTTGAAGTTGGATAAGAATCTGTTGAATTTGTTGAAGATGTTGGTCTTTCTGGTGATTCTAAATTTGTATTATTTAATAAATTTGTAACAATTGAATTTCTCTTTCTATTATTTTCATTATTATTAATAATTTCATTATTAGTATTAGTAATTTGTTCACTCTTTCTACGTTGATTAACAGAAATTTTACTAACAGATTTAGAATTTCTACGTTTATCACTATCTTCAAATGAATTATTAGTATTTTTCTTTTTAATAATTCTTTTCTTAATATTATCACCACAATTCCCACCATGTAGTTTTTGAGCATGTCTTAATAAAAGATCTCTTCTACTAAATTTTTTATCACAAATTCCACAATTATATGGTTTTTCATTTGTATGTGATCTTGAATGTCTATCTAAATGTTCTTGTCTAGCAAATGCTCTTGTACAAATTTTACAAACAAAGAGCCTTGGTTTACCACTTGGCGTAACGCCATTAAATTTCAAATTGCCCGGTAAATATTTTAATCTTTTATTAACACGAGAATTCATATTATTATTTTCAGTCATTGGTCCATTCTCATTCTCATCATTAGTATTATTTTCCGTTTCAATATCTATATCACTTTGCATAGTGTGTATGTGTAGGGTGTGTATGGGTGTGTATGTGCGTGTATGTGTGTGTGTGTGTATAGGATGTTTATGTTATTTATAGTAGCAAAATAATAGTTTTAAAAAAAAATGTAATTAGTCAAATAGAGAAACTACCTATTATACTATATATATATTTATTCAAATCTCAATATATTATTTTTTTTACCCTCTAGATATATATATATTTCCGATGTATCCATAAAATACATATGTTGTTCAATGGCAAAAAATGAAAAAAAAAGCAAACACACGTTAAATTTAAATCTATTCAGTTTTACTTTCTTTACTACCCTCTTTCCTTATCCAATTAAATAAATCAATTAAATGTTTTCTAACGTGGCACACACACGCACACACACTCTCTCTATGCAATGAGCGGCCTGGTTTGAGTATCTTTTTACCTTTAAAGCATTGAATGTATACTGAAAATGTGTGGTGAAATTAGAGTACGAAGAGAACTTTAATCACGCATAATTAGTCTATGAAACGGATTTATAGTTACGCACCAAAGTAAGAATTTAGCCGTTCTACCGTTAAACTTTAGTGAATAACGAGGAGAAGGCAAAAAGGGAACAATTCAACACAGTAAAAAAGGTGACTGCTCTATGCATACTTTATGCATTGTTGGTAATAGCCACGCAGATATTTTGCGGGTGAACAAATCATTTAAAATCGGACGGACCCTCTCTGTATTGCATAATAATAACTCCGGTTAATTTTTTTTTTCTGTAATTAAATATGAAGTATACAGCCGTACACTACATTTTATTTGCCTTGTTTTTTTTGTATGTGTATTATATATGTATAGATATATATTGCCGCTGTCCGGAATAACGGAGAAACATATAATTGTTGATTCAGATTTCGTTGTCAGTGGAAAGGAAGGAGAGAAAAGAGAGAGCATTATTGACAGAGGAGATTTTGAGATATTATTTTTCTTTTAAACTGCTGCGTCGTGTCCCCCTTCCCCCTGCGCATTGCAAGAAGAGTCCTCCCATTGTAAAGTATACACTGTGTGCTTGCTTGCTTGCTTTTGGAATGGGCGGTTAATTTATTTCCTGTATATACTACATTCTAATTGGCTATCTATCTATCTACCTATCTATCTATATAAATTAATTACAATACAACACCAAAACCAAAAGTTAATTTAATAGGTCTAACATAGTAATTCTCGAAATTGTTACGTACACGATCTTCTTCACCAATTGGAATACCACTCCACTTAACTTGAACTTTCGTTTCATGATATTCTTTGGATTCATAGAATGTCATTTGTAAAGTTGACCAAACTTTTGTTGGCCATTCACTTAAACGCCATTTAAAAATTAATGATTTGTTTAAATCAACTTCAATTAATTCACTGGAAATATTACCATCAAATAATTCAAATTTATCACCGACTATTAATTGCTTTGAATTCAAATTCTTACTATCAATAACACGTACACTACCTCTTGTAAATGCCATTAAACGATCTTTATCTATAAATGTTGAATAAATTTCTGATGCAGGAACAATAAATGATGGTTCCAAATGAATTGTTGTACGATTTGCATCACCACTATTACTTCTAATTGTATTACTGCTAGTAGTTTTCTTTATTTCTTTAGTTTCCGACTTTTTGGGAATCGCAGTAGCGGAAGCAGTCACAGTAGAAGTTGGTAATTGTTGTTGATTCGCTTTAGTAAATTGGGAATTAACTTGATTTTCTGGAACTTGAATATTATTACCTTGTTCAGATAATAAATCTTTGCCAAATTGTTGAAAAATTTCTCTCATTTCTGGTAAAATTTTTTCTTTAATAAATGGCTTAATTTCATTTAATTCACTAGTCTCTTTATAAATCGATATATCAAATTGATAATCATTAATTTCACTATCAAATGAAATTTCTGGTATACTGATACTACCTTCTAAATTTTTTTGATTAATTTGACCTTCAAATAATATAACCATTTGTAAATCAAATAATGAAATCACTTTACCTTTACGTTGACTAACTTCACAATCACCTTCAAATGATGAGATATCTTTAATTTTAATGTATTTATCATTATTTGTCGTACCAGTTTCTAAACCAATTAACTTATTTTCAAAATAGGTACGAGCCCATCTCATACAATTCTTATCGACCCAATGCCAATTATTTGGATTATTAACAACCATATTCGTTTCAACTTCTTCTTATGTTTACGTTCGCCCCTTCTTCTCTCTATATCTTGATATTAATACATTGTTCAGATTTATTTCTCTTTCTCCTTTTTTATATATGTTATGCTCTCTGTTTTTTTTTTTCGTTGCTTGGTCGACAGCGGTTCAAGTTTTAGAATTGCGCACTATCTGTGTGTGTGGCGAATATTACAGAACTTTTATTATTATGCTATTAGTATTTATTTATGCTTTTTTTTGTATGTATGTATGTGTATAGACGTTTATCATATGTGGACTTTTATTTTGTTGTTGTTGTGTTTACATGAAATCTGATAAGTTTGTTGTTGTCATAGATGGTAATCCACCACCTAAGAAATCTAACATCATATGCATACCACCACCTCCACTATATTCATCAACATCTTGTGGTAATACTTGTGATAAACCTTCTAAAAACCAAACCTTATCCTTTAATTTTGTTGTAAAGCCTCTTAATAATTTATAATAACTTCTCATTATTCTCATTGCATTTAAATCACCAGTCATTAATAATGCTAAAAATGTTTTATCTAATAATGCTGGAAATGAAAAAATCCTTAAAATAAAATCTGAATCATCAATTTCATGATTTAATTTATCTAGATATGCCAATGTAATTAAATATGGTGAATCAATATCAACAGGATATAAATCTGCAATAGATTCATCAAAACAAACAAGTTCAGATATTGTACCATCTTCTTTATTAATTACATCACCTAAATCACTTAAATCAACAGAAATCAAATCATGAAAACGTGAATTTTCACTTAATGGCCAAACTGCTGTTAAAATCGTTGCTGCACCTTTAACATGAAAAATCCATGCTGATGATGCCATTGTATTTTGTGATCCAGCTGGTGTACTAGATGCATTAGCTAAAGAATCCATGATTAAAATTAATGCACTTGCAACTAATGCATCTGTATTTTCTTCAGATATTTCAAGAACAGCTTCTCTTAATAATCTTAATGCATCTAATCTATGTGATGAAACATATTGTTCTAAACCAGGTTCTGTTCTTGATAAATGCGTAGCACTAAAAGCTAATAAAGAATGCATTAAAAATGGATAATTAAATGCTAATTCAGGAACATCTTTTGACCATACTTCGGGAACTGACATTGTGGTAATCGAAGAACAAACTTCTGTGCAATAATGATGAAATAATTTCATATCAACAAGATTTAAATTTGCCTTTGTTGATAATTGTAATAATTTTGCAACACCTGTCATTGGTTCTTCTAATTTTTTCTCAGCAATAACAGATTTATTAGTCATAGATGCATTTGTTGAATCAATAGATTTATTCTTTTGATGATTTTGATTAGAAATCTCCCTTGGAATTAATACACTTGATGGAGATGAATTACCAGTTAATGTACTTTCTATACTTGCCTTTATTATGGGACTTAGTTGTGATATCATTGGTAAAGGTACATTATGTGGAATACCATTAGGTGTCCCTACTAAATGTGCTAAGTCGCTTGGAGAATTGATTGATTTCTCTTTACCTTCAGGACTATCTTGACCAATAGATTCTTTCTTGACTCGTTCTTGCTCTTGCATATCTGCTAGAATTGCCTCTGCAGTACTTGCTTTTGAACTATGTGACATTACACCCATATCTCCATTAGGACTATCATTATTCAAACTAGGGATAACATTGGTATTAGCTGTTGTAGGTGATGTTTGAACACCATTTCCTTTCCCATTATTAAACTTTAAACCTAATAATTCTTGGAAATCATACGCAATGCCACCGATACCAGCAGTTGGCAAATTACCTAATGTCTTTAAATTTAATCCCATTTTACTTAATTGAGATATAGATTCTTCTTGTAAAGATAAAGGAATATCATTTCCTGAATGATTTGTAGTTAGTGATGCTGTTGATTGTTGCAATTGTTGTTGTATTTGTGATGGTATTATACTTTGATCTATTGTAGAACCTAATGGATGAGATAATTCTTGAGCATGTGCTTGAGCTTGCATCTCTTGTAATTGAGTTTGATCTTGTTGTAATAATTGTTGTAACAATTGTCTTTGTTGTAATTGTAATTGTTGATGTTGTAATTGTAACTGTTGATCATGTTGTAACTGTAATTGCTGATGCTGTTGTAATTGTAATTGTTGATGAAGCTGATATTGTAATTGTTGTTGTGCATGTGATGGCCCTGCTGCAAACATCTTTGGAGATGTCATTGCATTTAGATTGGTTAAATTATTAGCAATAGCAGATAATGAGGAATGTCCCAAGAATCCCATACCACCTGGCCCTGCAGTTTCATTAGTTGTGGTTGTTGCTCCCGTCGCCGATGCAGACGCACCTTCACCTGTTGTGGCAGTAACTGTAGAAGCAGTGTTATTGATATTGGTATTATTATTACTTACCACAGTATTTGGTAGTGTTGGTAGTGTTGTTGCAGGTTGGTTACTCTCATTACGTAAGGAGGTCAAACCAGGTATATTTATTCCAGGAGAAAGAGGCAAAGAATTATCTAAATCATAATGAGTATTACCATTTGGTATATGATGACCACCCATTGCAGTTGCTGTATTATTATTATTACTATTGGCGTTCATATTACCAAGATTTAATAAACCAGATAATTGTTGTAAGTTTGCTGGAGCACCTTGACCTAAAGTTGAAGCAATTAAAGAAGGAATCATTCCAGCATTATTACTATTATTATTACCGGGAGACATCATTGATGACATAATACCAGGGAAATGAGTAGCTGCAGCTGCCATTAATTGTTCTGCATTTGCACCACCCAATCCACCTTTTGATAATAATGATGCTAGACCGCCCAGCGGTCCATTAGTATTTGGAATATTTCCGTTAACATTATTTGATTTGTCTAAATTTTTTTTCTTATTTATTGATGATGTCTTTGTATTCGTTGTTTTATTTTTGGTAATTTTTTTAACTCTTGATGGTTTTGTATCTTTAACTATTTTATTAGTACCATTCCCCATTAATTCAGTATCTGGTTCTAATGTACCATCTGGTAATCTTCTCATATATTTAATAATTGTAGTCTTTCCCTTTTTTAAATTTCCTGCATTATTACCATTGACAGTTGCCGCTGATGCCATTGAATCGGATACTCCATTTACATCTGAATTATTATTACTATTATTTGATATAATTGTTTCATTTAAAGAATTAGCAGATCCTGGTCTACTAATACGATTTGGATCATTTTCATCAATTTCTAAAGGTTTATAAACACAATCCAAATTCATATTATTACATTTTTTACAAAATGGTTTACCTTCATCACATTTAACACGACGACGTTTACAATTTAAACAGCCATTTTTTGATTTATTATGAAATTTCCTTTTACCTGTTGATGTTTTACTAACTTTTTTACCATCAATTTCAATCAATTCAACAATTTTCTCACGACGTGTTATTGTATTTTGTGATTTTTGTGATTTCATAGAATTGATGACTTTAGTATCCTCGGGATGAATTGGTGTTAATGTCGAGTCTCCAGAACTCATCATTATGTTATTCTATCTCTCTCGCTGGCTCTCTTTCGTACTTTCAAATACTATCTTACCAGATAGGTAGTTTTACAATTAATGTATGATATAAAAGTTCTGATCGTTTGCGTACCTACTAATAGACAAAGAGATGCCAACCAAAAAAATTATCTAGAGAAAGAGGAAAAAAAAATTGCCTTATGACGATAGTGAATGGATTTTTAACAATATAATTTGTTATGTGTAAACAGACTTTATTTTCTTATTTCTTGGGTGATGCCCTGAATGTGAAGAAAACAGAAACAGACTACGAAAGCCAAAGAGAGAAGAAAAACTTTTTTCTTTAAAGTCCACACAATACATACATACACTAAGAGAGTGATGGGGGGAAAGACAATAGTTATAGCCTCTTTTTTGTCACTTTAAAAAAATTGTTGTTTAGATTTCACTTTTCCCTTCTGCAAGCAAGAAAAAAACATTGCAAGACTGAGTACAAATAATACTGTACCGCCAGAATTTCCTCAAATTGCACACACACTCCCACACAGAGCGTGTGTGGGAGAATACCCCAATCTGGCAATCCCTTGCATTAAAGGCTTATTAAAATATGAAAAAATAACAAAAATCTTGTATGCGTTTTGTTTATTTTGTTACGTATTATAGTGGGTGCCGCCTCCATAATTTAGTTTTGATGGGCAGGTGCGCTTTTCTTTCTCTCTCTATAACTTGCCCAGAGTCTTTTTTTTTTTTAGATATTTTCTATTTATTTTTAACAGAGAAATTGGTGCACGACGTGTAAAATGAGCTCCGGATATTTTAACATTAACGCCTGGGATTCCAATCTTGTATTTTTGCATCCGTCGTTGGATGTGATGTTAGGCATTGGTTATTTTTTCTGGTCTCCAGTTATTACCATCCCGCGGAGGCGAACAAAAATTTGTACATTGTCTCTTCCAGATATTGTAATGTTGTACGAACACATTTAACATTTTACTGTATACTTCAATAGCACACAAATATCAACTCGATAACTTTAGTATTAACAATTATATGTCTTTGTTTTTATATTTTTTTTTTGGTCTTTATTATACACTCATGCATACGTATACACTACACTATATATATAGTAATATATACTTCTATGACAATCATCCTCTTAGTTCTTGTAATGGAATTCTTTTTTTTTCTAATGAGCGTGTGGATCTTCCTTTGGTGGTTCAGGATCAACATTTATCATAGTATCAATTCTAAGGATAGCAATACATGCTTCCAATGCAGATTTTAAAGATTTAATCTTACTTAAAGTTGGTTCAAGTACACCAGCTGCTACTTCATCAACAATCTTACCTCTAATTAAATCTAAACCATAATTTTGATAACTTTTACGTTTGATATCTTCAGGTTTAGCTAATTGACTTGCTGCATGATATGATCTTAATTTTGCAATCAATTCACTTGAATCCTTAGCGGCATTAACTGCTAAAGTCTTTGGAATAATTAATAGAGCTGCTGCAAATTCTGCAATGGCTAATTGTTCACGAGATCCAACTGTTGTGGCAAAACTATCCAAATATATGTTTAATGCAGTCTCAACACAACCACCACCTGGTACAACACGACCAGATTCCAATGTTCTTTTCACTACACAGAGTGAATCGTGTAAAGAACGTTCCATTTCATCTAATGAATAATCGTTTGGTCCACGTAATATAACTGATGATGAAGAATGCTTCGATGTGCCTTTAATTAAAATACATTCATCATCAGAATATTTAGCTTGAATAACTTCTTGACATGTACCTAAATAACTTGGTTCAAAAGTTTCTTCACCTTCAAGATTTGACATATCACCAACTAATGTTGCACCAGTAGCACGTGCAATTTTACGTAAATCTTCTTTTTTACAACGTCTAACTGCCATAATTTTTGCTTCAACAAATTCTTTCAAACATAAATCATCAATACCTTTAGTAGTTAAAACAACTTGCGCACCTGCATCAATAATTTTACGTACTCTTTCCAATACCATACCAGCTTCACGTTTACGAATTTGTTCTAATTGTTCTGGATCATCAACATTAATTTGAACACCCATTGCCATTCTTGCTTTTTGTAAATTTAAATCTAAACATGCAATCTTAACATTACCACCTGTAACAGATTTTGGCATAGCTTGAGAGGCAACAGTACAATTTAATGCATAACCTTGAACTAAAATAGATTCTCTTGCTGATTTACCATGTGCCTTTAAAATATTAACAGCTTTAACAGGATACTTGATTTCACCTTTAGAATTAGCTGTCTTAACAGCTAATAAAGAATCAACAACAACTTTACTGAAAAAATCAGAATCAGCACCAATAATCTTTGAAGACATACTTGTCTTTGCAATATTAATTAATGTTTCTTTACCTAGGGAATCAACCTCTAAGGATAAAACTTCATTAATAAAACGAACAGCTTCTTTTAAAGCAAGTCTAAAACCCGTTATAATCGTAGTTGGATGGATCTTATTCTTAACCAATTCATTGGCTCTCTTTAATAATTCGGATGCAACGATCACAACACTAGTAGTACCATCACCAATTTCACGATCTTGTTGTTGTGCTAATTCAACTAAAATCTTACCAGCTGGATGTTGAACATCCAACAGAGATAAAATTGTTGCACCATCATTAGTAACAGTAAAGTCACCAATATCATCAACTAACATCTTATCTAGACCCACTGGACCTAACGATGATTTGACGACATTAGCGACAGCCATTGCAGCCAACACATTTTGATTACGGATATCATCACCACTGATCTTTTCACCACCTAAGAAAAGGGTGTCAGAACGTGAATTGTTAAACAGTTGAGCCATATCTGTTTATTCTTCTTGTTTTTTCTTACCTAGTGATATCTGGTCTGTTTGTAATTGTTCACAAAGGGTTTACTTAATCTTACCTCTCTCTTTTTTCACCTCTTTACGTTTACCACTTTTAAAATACGTTCCAAATTTAATTTTTTTTTCATTTTTTTTTTTCGTTCTTTTCGTCTCTCACTTTCACGGCTAGGTTAGAATTTTAATTTAACTAAACTAAGGCGAAAATGAAAAAATTGAAGCTGAAAACATATAGTTGAATAAGAGACTAACATAAAAATGATAGAATATTTTTTTATAAATCTACTAAATTGAATAAAATCTTTTAATTATTTTACACAATTCCTTGATATGTGATTAACTTTAATACAATGATATAGTTTTTTTTTATTTTTTCGTTAGTTTAATAGAATAAATTGATATATAAAAGAAAATAGGAATAAAATATAGAGAAAGAAAAATTTAAGGGAAAGTTAAGTGACGTAAATAATCATAAGTTCCATCCAGAAGGTTAATAAAAATAAAGCGGAAAAGTGACCTTAGACTGTTGTATAATGCAGAATATTAAAATTGACAACAGAACTTCTTGAAAAATGAAATAATGAAATAAAAGTAAAATGATTGCATGTAATGACTACATCTTCCGTGGAAAATCAAAATCAATATATATGTATTATATTAACAATCATCCATATCTCCTCCTACATCTAGTTTATTTTTCGGTAGTCTTTTTTTCCCGTTTATTAAATATTCTCTTAAATTCAATCGAATATATCTTATAAAACATTTCATTCAGTTTGTAATCTACAAAATAGTACACTTCTTACTCTTCTTAATGACAGGAGGTTCTAAAGCTGCAACAATAGCTTCATCAAAGACGTTTTTCAACCCACGTTGGGTCAAAGCAGAACATTCTACATATTTAACAGCTTTCAAATCTCTTGCTAATCTTTCACCTTGTTCAATAGTAATAGGGCGTAACCTTTGTCTTTGTAATTTTTCGATAATAATCTTATCATCCCTTAAATCTATTTGAGTACCAACCACTAGACATGGAACACCAGGACAATGATGATGTACTTCAGGGAACCATTTTTCTTTAACATTCTCGAAGGATGGTGGTGCGATGACACTGAAACACACTAAAAATACATCTGTAGATGGATATGAAAGAGGTCTTAGTCTATCATAATCTTCTTGACCAGCGGTATCGAATAGACCTAAAGTATATGGTTCGTCACCTATCATGACTGTTACAGCATAGTTATCAAAGACAGTTGGAACATAATCAGCTGGAAACTGATTTGTTGTATATGAAATTAATAGACATGTCTTACCAACAGCACCATCACCTACTACAACACATTTTAAAGTTTGCATCACGAATAACTTATGCCTTGTTTTATATTCACAAAAACTAATCTATATGTCTTATCAGCTAAATTTATTTATTAATAAATTTTAGTTGTCCTTTTTATCAATTGTAGATTATAAGACCTAAATCAATAGTAAGGATATGTTTATGCCGAAAAGGGAAAATAAGTAACAACGGATTAACTCTTATATAGTTCTTTGAACCTTCAATTCTAAATATACAACTAGAATAGTATAGTAAAAACCACTTTAATGAAAATAAATACGTTTGTTAACTGTTTATATTCTATAACCTATGTTTCACAATGTATCTTTCTCTCACTTTAAAAAAACACATGAGCCAAACCATACCAAACTAAACTAAACAACCCGTCAATATCTTTTTTTTCTTTCTCTTTTCATTGCTTATCCTTCGTTCTGAGTGTAGTTTCATTCGCTTCACTATGAGAAAAGATGATAATTATTTTATCACGTTACGTTGAGTATTACCACAGAAAACGCCGAAGAAAACTAGAAGAAAATCTTAGAAAACCAGAATTTCAAATAAACAAAAAGAAAGAAAAAATGGAAAGGTCAGTGAGGGTAACACTGTCAGAAACAACGGGAAAGATAAACGGAATTACTTATATAATAAGATAAATGATCAAGCATCCATATCTATTCTTTAATACTAATACTGATAAGTCTCTTGCGTTATCTATATATGTATATATTAGTAGTTTACAGTGAATGTTTATAAGGGGGGGGGTGGAGATCATTTAATTATATCTATTCTTCTTCGGAAGACTCTTCTTCAGATGATTCCTCATCTGCAGTTCTTAACCATTCAACCCATTTAGCAATCAAAACCTTAACATTATCGTATTTTGGATCATCGGAAACGTTATCCCACCATTTATAAATAACATCTTCCTCTAGAATGTCGTTATCATACAATGAAGTGAAAGCACCAAATAAAATTAAATCTGGTTTCTCAAAATGTGTATCTTCAACAACATCCATAATAATATTCATTAAATCAATGAATTCACTTTCTTCAAATGCTTGTCTCTTAAATAGATTACCCCAATGATTGAATACCTTGTGAACAGCATCCTTTGGTCCTAAAGTTTGAGTGGAAATAAAGTGATAAACTCTTCTCACCAATGCCATGACTGTAACGGTTCTAACTTCATGATACGTTACATTCATACTCATTCTCAAAGTATTCAATTCTAATAATGCAGTATCAATGTCATGGTTATTCTCTAGGGCTCTCTCTACTGTAGCAAGACCTTCTGCTTCAAAATCTTCTTCATCTTCATCTTCAGATTCTATATCTTCTCTATCTGTATACATACTGTTGGATGACATTGTTCTCTTCTTCTTCTTTCTTTTAGTAATAGAAGATATAGAGGCATCACTTAAGTATAATTCTTCAATTTGATGAGCCAGACAGTTAGATACTTTATGTATACCGTTTGATTCTTCTTCGTCATCATCAGATGTATCACTGTCATATACGTAACCTATACCATTTACACCAACGAAACTTGAACATTCTACCAAATCTTCTTCCTCTGAATCTTCTTCATCTCCACCTAGATTAAAGGCAGAGGAACCCATGTTTTTAATAGGTTTATAAGAGATCTTAGTACCCTTTGGAATCTCCATATTATCATCAATAATAACGTTGAAACCAATAATACAACCGTCATTCAATGTAACACTATTTCCTAATTTAGCATGTGAAGCAACAATAGAATGTTCTATATTACTATTATCTCCAATAATTGTATTATCCCAAATAAAACTATCCTTTATCACAATATTTTCACTAATTTGACAATTTCTGCCAATGATAGAATTTTCAATACGTGTACCTTCTCCAATCTTTGTACCAGACCCAATTGCTGTACATTTACCAATCTTACAAGATTGGGCTAATACAACATTGTTCTCTTTGTAGATATGTCTAGATTCATAAGAATAAGTTTGATCATATTGCATATTATTATCTAATACCATTGGGTAACACCATCTACCAATATAATCCTGTGATATTGTGTCATATGATTGCCAACTCTCAACTCTAGTAGCATAATCACTAGTTATGTATGCATAAATGTTTTTACCTAAGATATCACTGGAGATAACACCTCTAACGAAATCTGTTCTTAAGGACTGATAATCAAAGTTATCTTGGAAAATAGGTGGTACATGAGGAGTACAAATATCAATTCTACAATCTATCAAATCATTTCTAATAGTAAATTCATCAACACTTTCTAATAATTCAGGATCGATTTGAACAGCTCCCTTTTCTTGAGAAGATATCAATGGTAAATCTTGGTAATATATACATCTACTGGTAGATTTGTCCAATATAAAAGCTGCTGGTTCAAAAGTTCTAGTCTTGTAATATTCTGTAGCTTCACTTAAACACATAGTTGCAATATGATCTTTATCTTGAGCATGCATCTTTCTATGAAATTCAATCATCTTGCTAATATCAATGTTTGTAATAACATCACCACTAACTAAGATAAAATCACCTGTAATAATACCTCTGTTATCTAAATCTCTCATAACATCACCAACAGATCTAGCTTCTGGAGAAAGGATTGTAGATATCTTGAAAGGTGACCATGGTAAATTCCATTTTGAATTTTCAATATACTCATCTATTTGATTTGCATGAGAGGAACAAGTTAAATAAACTTCATTAACACCTGCAGTAGCCAAGAATTCCAAAGTATATTCGATTAAAGGAACATTGGCCAATGGTAACAAACATCTTGGTTTGTCCGCAGTAAGTGGCATGAATCTAGTCTCGAAGGAATCTGTTAAAACAACTGCTTGGAAACGATCTTCAACATCGACATCTCTATCGCCTCTGGAATTAGAATTTCCTGATGAACCCTTCTTTGGAGCCATTGTTATTAATTTATTACCTTATTAGTTTCGATAATATAATTATATGATGTTTTTATACAAAAAGAAAAATTCAACTTTAAAGTGTATTATTTAAATAAACTAATAATATATCATTCATTACCTCCACCTCCATCGCATAATCTTTGGAAAATTTCTACCATATAGTTAATACAGTCATCGTGAATTAATTAGAAAATGGAAATAGTGAACAAAAAATTCAAGCGAAAAAAAAAGCTTAACCCATTATATAGTCGTCTATAGTGATATACATCTGAAAAAAATTAAAAAAGAGAAAGTGCTCGAGGTGGGGTTTGAACCCACGACGGTCGCGTTGCTTTACCGATCTAGATTTAAAGATCATAGGCATAGGATGCTCCTTTTTAAGGAGTGTGCTATAAGCACGAAGCTCTAACCACTGAGCTACACGAGCATTTTCAAAGTTATGAAAAATATAGTTATCACTATATAGTAATTAAAAATTGAAAATTGAAAATTGTGAATTTACAGAAATAAGAGATAACTAGTGCTTCCAAAGCATTGGGTAGTTAAAACAAATTCATATTGGATTCTATGACTATGTTATACATATTAATAAGAGGGTGGGGCTCTAAATTAATAATTGATACCGGTTAAAGATTATATAAGGTAAATTAGCATACCAATAATGGAGCATCTAAATATTAAAATTTTGTTCTTAAATCAAATGTCAACAATAAATAATTAATAGGTTAAGCTAAATGGCAAATATGAAATCATAGTGAGCCCAAGAACGGCTATAAACAGGTGTATAAATAAGTAAGTAAATAATGGACCTAATTTTTAATTTAAACGTAATATTTCAAACTTCAATTCTTGAAAACAGAATGAAACATGAATTAAACAATCAGAATAATAGAACAATATATTAATTATACAGTTAAGTATTATTTAGAACATAAATTGTTTATGAAAGTTAACAAAATTTTAAAAAACCCATAAACAATTTGTCGGAATTTACATGATAGAAGAATGACGTCAAGAATATAAAATATAAGAATAAAAGAATAATAAAAATTGTCAGATTTGATAATGTTAATATTTAACAATCTAAAATGAGAAAAGATAATAATAAGACGCATTTAGAAACCATGCATAATTTCTACAATGCTAGTATTGGAGATTTATAATCACGAAATGTTACCCAATCCAAAGGTATATAAAGGGAACAATATTTCATGCATTGGAATATTTTATTTCCCTGATTATTTTGTATATTATTTATAATTTGTATACTAAAGAAATCAGACGACTATACGTTGATTTCTAATAAAATAAATTTTGTACCACATTAAAGAAATGGATTCCTCTAATAATTCCAAGATTAAACACAATTTATGCGGTGCAATGCGTTTTAGTATATAAAAACACTAGGTATATTTTGGAAGAGCATAGTCATTAGTTTACATCTTATATATTACTTCATGGATCAACGCAATAAAATATGAAACCTAATTTGTAGAAAGTGTCTCCAAATATTATATTGAGTTATCCTAACTCAATTTGACAAAACATTAATTTAATTGAGCAATTCTAATTCTTCCCTGCTTCTTGGTTAATAATAAAGAAGTTGAAATATTTCAAATTTATTATAACTCATTTTAAAAACCATAAGTTTATGAACTAATCCTCAAGCTGTACATAATTAGACTTCTTCGTTAAAGAAAAAAGTTAAATATAATGATATTATTCATTAATTTAATTAGATCAGGTTAACTTCTCAAATAAAAAGGGAAATTAGAAAAAAAAAATTAATAATCTTATATTTCAATTATATATAGATATATATACATAATATAAATAATACAGTAATGATACTTAAAAATATCAAAGAAATTGATGCTCTTTAATAATCGAGACATCTTGAAATAAAGTTTATGCATCCAATCCTGAATAATAAATAATAGCTGAAAAAAATTGAAAAAAAATGGATTAGGTAGTTGTTATTATTTAAATTATTGGATTATCCAGTTATAATATACAAATGTAGAGGAGAAAAAAAGAGATAAAGAATTCAAAATATTACTATTGTAGTGCAGTCTCCTATTAGTAACGAACGACTTAATAAATTATTGTGCGCATAACAGACTCAAACAACAACAACAACACAACATTTTACAGAAAGTACCGCAACAATCATCGTCATCTTTTTGAGGAGCCTGTTGAACGTAGACAGGCTGTTGTTGCATTGGTGGGCCTTGTTGATAATAACCTTGTTGTTGTGGTGGACCTTGTTGGTAGTAACCTTGCTGAGGAGGTCCTTGCTGGTAGTAACCTTGTTGAGGTGGACCTTGTTGATAGTAACCATTTTGAGACATGAATGTTGTTGTTGCTGTGCCTTTTTGTTTCTAAACTGTAGAACAGGTATTCCTAAAACTGAGTTCAATTATATTAATCTGTGTCTAAGTTAATCAAAATAGAATAGTAGCGAAAAAACCATCATGTTAAAAGGTTTCTATATTTATGCCAAAATTTATTAACGATGGAGATCATTAGCTTTCCCAAAAAAAAAAGAGCCATAGCCAAAAACCATTGATTCTCTGCACTACAAATTATTCGCAACTAAAAGAGGGATGTTGAAATTTTTTTCGTTTTGTTCGCGATGGAAACAAACCCAAACAACCCGCTGCGCCTCTCACACACAAAACCAGATTTCTGTGACGGGAAAGACCCTTTTTTCCTTTATTTTGGCGCTAAATTTAACAGTGACAGAATTATGTAAAAGGACAATAACGACAATTAGATGATTCCATATCACATGATTTAATTTTTTGGGGGAGGGGGGAGGTAACAGTCCCTTAGTAGGTTTTAGAACTGAATTTCGTTTCATTTACAATTAGAATATTTTAAACTGTAATGATTTTAATGAGATGAGTTTCACTTCAATATATTAAAATATAGTATTCATGTTTCATCTTTCCTTTTTGTCTAACCTAGAACAGAAATATTTTGTTAGTGACCATCCCAAGTCAATATTCTTATTATAATACTCTAATATATCCGATTTTTAAATATACTTAGTATGCGATTCGAGTTCCATTTTACTTAGTAATTTTGCTAAACATCAGATAATCGTCTACGTGCCTATTAACTTGAATGTAACACCTAAACTCCATTTGAAGTTTTAATGACTGTATATTATTTATTTTACTGCGTATATATATACACTATTCTTTTCTTTATAAGTAGTATATAATCGTATTACCGATAGTATATTAAATAAAGTTCCAACCGTTTTAATATTTAATTTATTCGAGGGATTAACCAGCCAAAAAAAAAGTTAAGTTCTTTTGCGAGTTTATTTTTAATTAAACACCAAAATTAAGAAACATGTTAACTTGGAGAACACGAGCCACCTTTACATAACAAAATCTAATTAATTATAAACGCGATGTTAAATTCTATATTATATTTCTATCTCAATATGTCTACTGAAAATTAATACACATAAGTTACATTTACATGTTATCTACAACATATCAAGAATTTGAAGTACACAGCAAAAAAATTGTGTATTTCTAATATTTTAGCATTAGGAACACACAATATTGCTACAATTAAAAAGTACGAGATTTTCCACATAAGCTTATGTCTAAATTAGGATATCGTGATCTTCCACATTATATTTTTTTATAATAATAATTATAATAATAATATTAATATTTCTCTTTAAACTCTTTTTCTTGTTTTTACGAATTATTCTCTCCTATTAAACAAAAAGAATAATATGAATATAAAAATTTAGTTTACGAAGTTACCTATCCGCTTTAGGTATCATTGGACTAAACTTAGTGCATGAACGAATTGATCGGACTCAACAAAAATCTACTAATTGGGTTCTCTCTGTAACTCGAGGTTCTTTTCAACTTGCAGCCAAGAAGAAATTGACTCAGATATTATCGTATCTACGCATAGTTTAGAATTGTTTTTTTTTCATTCAAAACAGTAAACGCTGGTATTATGCGAGCAAGCTGCAGATTTAAGCAAAAACTACTGTAATTAATACGCAAAAATCTGTTCAAAATATTTTATTTATTTTCTATCAGAAATAAGAAAGAAGAAAATTTTTTTCTCTCGAATTAAGTCTAAATCTTGCTAAAAAGTAATAGAAGAAGGTGTGTGAATGTGCCTTCTTCAAGAAATGTGTACTGAATTGGGTTATGTACCTTATTTGATTGCAGATCTGCAGTCCTCTGACTCTCCTATTGTATCATTTAATTTCACTCTTTATTTCTTCTCTAATAAAAACCCGTACCAAATGGAAAAGAAAATACATTTTTTGAAAAATATACCAGCGTGGAAAATTCAGTCTTAAAAGACAAGTAGTAAATAAATAGAAGGCAAAAAATTTGGCAGCACACGCTCGTATACCAAAAAGAGAAATAAACAGTTCTGAAATATATACGAAGAACAAAGGATTCCACTATGAACATGGCTTAATTGGGTCATGTACCTATTAACAGTATTTAGACTCCAGCATCTTTTAATATGATGCTACTACGATGTCTCAGACGCATATATCTAAGCATGTTTCATCTTGATGGAGTAGGTATGTAAAACGAAAAAAAAAGAGCACATCAACGTTAACAAAACAACCATCAACGTTAACAAAACAACCATTAACGTCTTCAATTATCCACTGGTTTTATTCAATAGTTATTAATTCGTCTTTCGATGCAACAATAGCGGCAGATACAGAATTTTCGCAATCAGGAGTCCTGGTGTCAATTATTACACCTCCTTAAGTAAATTACAATTCACAGAATAACGTACTATTCTGAGAAGACTGGTCAGAAATAGTAATTTACGTAGGAAAATAAACTTTATTATGATAGATGTTTATATCTAAATTATCTTACTAAAATAATTATTAAACGAATTACACAAAGCCAAAAAACCCCCACTAGGAAACAAAGAAATTCATACATCTGGTCTAAACACAGTTGTTACAATCACAATAATGTCCACATCAACTCTGAATTCGAAATTTATATCTCTTAATATATAAAGAAACAAAAAGTCCAAACATTTAAAGTATATCTGTTTGGTATTCGATTTTTCCTTGCTATTCTTAGTCGTATTTCTTAATAATTTTTAAAAAACTACGAATAGTCATCACACATACTCAATCATACCCACAAAAATGAAGTTATCTACTGTTGTTGTGCTACTGGGATCCTCATCCCTAGCTTTAGCTGCTCTATCTGCCGAAGACCTTGCTGAACTGACTGTTATATTTAGTGATATTAACAAAAACGGTGATTCTTACACCAATTGGATTTTAGATTCTGGTATTGATATGCCAATGGATGTTCTTCCAATTCTTATGGGTGTCGAAACTGCTACCGATTCATCTTACACTACATACCTTGATCAATTAAATGATGCTGATGTTAGTGCTTTCGAAGGTGTGGCTACATCTGTTCCATGGTACACCTCTTACTTATCATCAGAAATTGCTGTTGCTGTTGCCAATGCTAATGCCGAAGCTGAAACTACAGCTGCCACTTCTGCTGCCACTTCTTCCGCTGTTGACTCTTCTTCCGCTACTTCCAGTGTCGTTGAATCTTCTGCTGCTTCTGCTGCTGCTTCAAGTAACGCTGCTACTTCTAGTGCCGTTGAATCTTCTGCTGCTGCTTCAAGTAACGCTGCTACTTCTAGTGTCGTTGAATCTTCTGCTGCCGCTTCAAGTAACGCTGCTACTGCCGAATCTTCAGCTGCAACCTCCAGCGTTGCCTCCTCTGCTGTAGCTGAATCTTCTGCTGCTTCTGCTGCTGCTTCAAGTAACGCTGCTACTTCTGCCTCTGCTGCTACCGATGCTTCTACTGCTTCCTCTGCTGCTGCTACCGATGCTTCTGCTGCTACTTCTGCCACTGACGCTACTTCTGTTGCTCAAGCTTCTTCTTCTGCTGCTTCAAACCAAGTCTCTTCCGTTGCTTCATCTGTCATTGCCTCTTCTGCTGCTTCAAGTAACATCACCGCTTCTCAAGAAACTGTCACTAACACTTTGACTGATATCAGCAGTGAAACTACTACTTTCTGCCCAGAAAGTGGAGATGTTACCGCTACTGCTTATGCTAATTCTACTAAGACTGTTACTGTTTGTGATGATGCTTGTAAATCCAGGAAGGCTGCCGAAGCTACTACCACCATCAACTCACTAACAACAGCTACTGTTACCAAATGTGATGAAGCTTGTCATGCTTCTAAGTCTGCCGCCTCTGCCGCCTCTGCCGCTGCTGCCACTGTTACCAACACTCAAATTACCACTGCTACCATTACTTCTTGTGATGGAGGTTGTCACGCTTCCAAATCTTCTGCTTCCGCTGCTTCTGTTGCTTCCGCTGCTTCCGCTGCTTCTGCCGCCTCTGTTGCTAAGGAAAATGGTGTTGCTGGTTCTGCTTCCACTACAGTTCAAGTTCAAGTTCAAACTTCTACTACTTCTACTCAAAGCATTGCTGTTCAAAACGCCAACAATGCTATTAAGCAATCTGCTGGTCTAGCTGGTCTTCTAGGTGCTGTTGCAATTTTCCTATTATAGATTGATAGAACGGTTTAATTAAACCTGTTGCATTTTAATTTCTTAAGAATCATTTAATTATTATTCTTTGGCCTCCATTTATCAATTTTATGATAGGTTGGTAGTACCTTATTGCTTGAAGTTCGTAATCTTATCTTTATTCTTTTAAATGTGAATTATTAAAAATAAAAAAGAACATACCCACATTTAACAACTTTATATAATATCCTGTATTATATCTCTCTATTTTGTATTAATATTAATATTTCTGATATACATTAAATTTTTATTCATGAAGAGAGTGAAATTGGTCAAAATTAAAAATTGAAAGCGTATTGAACAATGAATTTATTATAAATACTGCTATGAAGAATATGTGTATAAATATATGAGTATATTTAAAATTTGTCTATATGTATAGATTTTATGCAAAAAAAAACATTTGTTTTTGTTAAATTTTATGAAGCATCTTTATAATTTTTTCTGTTTGGATTATCTAAATATGGTTCAAATGATGTCTTTGTCTCTAAAGAATTTTCTACAAATTCATATAATCTGTTACCATAATCCTTTGGTGGAATTGCACTAACTAATTTTCTATCATGGTTTAAACTTCTCCAAAATGTTTCTAATTTTTTAATAATTGAATAGTTTGTTAAACAATCAATCAATCCAATATAATAAATATATTGACCATCCTGATTAAAAGTATCCGAGGATCTAATCCCACCTTCATAGTCTTTAAAATAATGTGAAACAACCGTACTTACTTCATAACCCCGTATCGGTCTTTTCTTAACAGACTGTCTTATATTAGATCTTTTTATGATCTTATTTAAATCGACTCCATCTGTAGTGGCAGAACCATCCAAGGGTGATATATTCCTAATGTTATTAGGATCTGATTCTATAACATTTCCAGTCTGAATAACTGTATCCAAAATCTTTACTTCTTCTTCCTCTCCCTCTTCCTCTTCCTCTTCTTCAGTATCAGATACTAATTCATCTTGATTCAAATCATGAATACCAATCAATAAAGAATAATCCATAATATTTAATTTTGATAATAAAGCAATATCATTTTGTAATTGATTTAAAAAAGTTTTTTTCTTTAAAGGGCCAAATTTTATTGTCTCTTTTAAATCTAACCAATTTAAATCTTTTAATACAGGTTTAAAAGATTTATCAAAATCTTGTAATTGTTGATTATCAATATTAGTTCTTCTACCCCAAGTAGAACCTTTTAAATCATAAGTTCTATGAATATCTAAATGAGGTGGAAATAAATTATTCATTACAATAAAATAAATTTTTCTATGTTTAATTTTATTTTGAAATGAAATTGGCATTTTAACTCTATGAAGACCATAAAATTGACAAATTAAAGTATTTGGATTTTTTTTAATATGATCATAATAATCTTTTAAATGTTTTCTAAGATGAATATGTTCAGAATGATGAATTGTCTTAATAATATATTTGTAATCTCTTGAATAATAAAAAAATGAACCACTTTTCCCCGGTGAATTTAGTTCACTTAAAATATATTTTGATGTCAATGAAACTAAATAATCTGCAGGATCTAAACCAAACATTGATCTTAATTCTCTAAAGACTTCTGGACTATAATCTTTAAATTTAAAAGCATATTGTGATGATGGAGTTAATTCATTACCATGATAATCAAATGCAAGTTTTTTATTAAAATGAAAATCTGATATTGTTAAAGGTTTCATTATTCCAGAACATCTTGAAACAGCTACTCTAATCCCAGTTAACATATTATAAGCAATAATAAAATTTACATGACCTTCACTAACTTTGTTACCAATAAGGACACGATCATCATCAATTAAAAAAGTTCTCCTCTTTCTTTTAATCTTTGTATCTCTTTTTAAAATTTTTCTCATTTTATTGATTTCTTTCTTTGAAATATCTGATTGTTTAATACTACCAATAACATTATTCCTTTCCTTTGAAGTTGATAATAGTATATTTGGAATTGAATTTGATCTTTTATGTCGTATTAGATTATTATCATATTCAATTGAATCATCTTTCTTTAATCTTAAATTTTTTTTCTTTTTTTTCAAATTATCTGAATCAATGGATCCAACAGGTAATGAATTAATTGATAAATGTCGTATATTTACAACATTTTCCTCATTAATATCCAAATCATTTCCTCTTAGTGGTAAAATTTGTGAATGTTTAGATGCATGAAATGGAATATTATTATTATTATTTGGATCTTTTTTAAAATCAAATGATGATGATAAATGTTTAATAGATTTTCTTGTTTTTCTTCTTGATACATTTTTATTTAATAAAATACTATCATTAATTGGATCATGAATATATGAATTAGTATGGATTAATAAATGAGGTTTCTCCTCATTATTATTTTGATTATTTGAATAATCTTCAATTGAAGTAGGTGTTGAAATATTATCATTTAATAATTTTGGTGATTCTAAATTTGATTCACTATTTGAAGATGAATGAAAACTTTGTGAATGTTTATGAATTGTAGTATTCATAGTAGTTCTTCTATCATTACTATTATTTTGTATTAAAGTCATTTAATAGAACTACAATAACAATAACATATACGCACAAATAAAATCACCTATATCTATACCTATATCTATCTATATATATATATGAAACTTCTTTCCAATCACCAAAATCCGAAGTGTATCTCTTTCAAATGAGTAGTAAATAAATGACAACGAGTCAAATGCTATACAAAAAAACAATAACAAAAAATTGAATTATTTAATGCAAGGTCCTCTGTTTCTATCTTTTACCTAAAAAAATCTCAAAAATCAAAATATATATCGGTTCACATCTCCCTCTCTCTCTCTCTCTCTTGCTGTGATCCTTTGTAACAAAGAAAAAAGCCAAGTAAAAATTACATAAATAAAACATTTTCTATTATATAATATAATAGTAATACTACACAGCAGAGTATATTCACATTCTCCCTGTTTGCGGAGAATTTCCCGTACAACAGCCAGTTTCCTTCTTTTTTTCTGGTTTTTTGTTTCTAGCATATTATGCAGGGTGCTCGTTCAGAGTGATAACCACATGTGTGCGTGCGGGCGTGCGAGTTTTTCTCGCGTTGTCAAAACGCAAATTTTTTAGGGTTGGGCGCTTAATTATTAACAGAGGGAGAGAGAGAGGGTATCCTTTAAATGGACTAGTTACCGGTGGGTGGTTACAGTTAGATAGATACTGCTGATTGTTATATATATATATATATATATGTGTGTGTACTGTTGTTTACGCATTTCAATTAATAAACCATTAGCACAAGTATAACGACTTGCTAATGGCTCTTTTGCCATGGTTGTTCCACTTATATATCGTTTTATCTCACACACACTCACTCTCTGTGCATAGTTTTATCACTTACCTCTTTCTATCCCATTCACTTTTTTTATTTTTAAAAGTGCGGAGAAAGGAAAAGCCAAAAAAAAAAGAGAGAACTAAGAATACATATATAAATATATAATTGAATTTAAAAAAAACCAATTTCAATAGTTTTTTTTAATTGGCTCCATAACTGAATAAGCCTAATAATAATATTTTATGATAAAACCCAGTTTTCATTAACAAGTCCTTCAACTGATTTTGCTCGGTTTAAATCAAACACCATCTTTTTTTTCTCATCTATTTTCGTTTTTGCTAGTACATACAATTTTTTTACTATTACCCATATTCATACAAATGAGCAAGAAACAAAACTATTTTAATAGAGAAATCAACAAAATTAACTCTGTAAAGACAGAATACGATGAAAATCCATTGTTATCGATCAATCAGATTACTCTAGTGCCAAATAATACACCAGAAAATAGCCCCTCGCATTTAATAGCTTCATCATCCTCTTCCTCAACCACTACACGCTCATTGATTCACATTAATGAAAATAGCAATAATAATTTTACCGCGCACGAAGGCGGCAAATTTATTGTTCGTTCAATTTTAAAGGACGACGGCAAAAATAACAATAATAACAACAACAACACCGTCGGCGGCGGCGGCGGCCGCGGAGGAGGAGGGGGAGGAGGCGACGGCGCTGATAATACTAAAGAAGTAGAAGAAGAGCAAGAAGAAGAAGAACAAGATATTTCAAATGAAGAAGTTAAGGATAAAAATACTATAAAGAATATATCAATTAAGGAAAATAAGAATAGCAGAACTATACATGATCATAATATGACAACAACAAATATGACTTCTTCAAGCAATAATAATAGTAACAATAATAATCCAAATGATATATTAAGACAAAATAATAATAATAATAATAATAATAGTTCACCAACTTCTGATGATAATAGTAGTAATAATAATAATAATAGTAGTAGTGCAAATTCACTTCAACAAAATAATAAGAGAAGAAATACTGTAATTGCGAGTGATCTACATTTTGATTCAACAAAGACAAGAACTGATCCAAACGTGAAAACTGAACAATCAACTTTAAAAATGTCTTCTTGGATACATTCAAAATATGATGATAATGAATATTCTTTAAATGAAAATGATAAATCAAATAAGAAAAATAATATAATTAGTTCAAATCCTCCAAGTAGTACAGAAATTACAAGTTCAAGTTCAAGTAATATTGTTCCCAGTAGTTCAGATTCTCAATATCCATCAAATATTTTAAAAATTAAAAATAATTCATCATCTGATATATTACTACCCGGGAAATCAAATAGTAACAACAACAACAACACTAATAATAATACTGGATTAACATCTCCGAAATTACCAAAATTACCATCATTTGGTAAATTAGAAGAAGAAAGAAGTAGATTAAATTCAAGTAGAAGCAATGATTTATCACGTTATCATGAACAATTTGTAACTTCATCTTTAGATCCATCAAGAATACCGACAGGGAAACAACAATTACCACAAAATTACGTATTGAATAATGGTCAACCCATTAATAAAACAGATCTACCGAGTAGTGCGCCAACTGAAACTATTTCACCAACAAGTCAACCAAAAATTATTAATTCAAAATTCGATGGTTTAAGAACAAGATTATTAAATAATCCAAAAAAATTAAAACAAAGAAGACATAGTGACGAAGAGGATGTCATGGGTAATGCAGCTGCTGTGCTATCTAATATGAGATCATCACCTTTTAAACTAGGGGAAAGAACTTTACCTCCATTAAATTCATTAACAACTGCTACTACTACCACTAATGATACTGGTTTACTAAGACCTCATTCATCATCATTTTCTTCACGTGGTAGTAACTTACATACAACAAGACCAAGAGTTGTAATTAATAAGATAGAAATAGATCCAAAGGGTACAGAACATGCAATTTCACAATCTTCAACTGATGATGAAGGAGAAATAGATAATAATAAGAAATTTTCTAATAATCAAATGAATGACCTTAATGGACAAGAAGTTGTAAATTGGAATAAAAATGGTAAAAGAGTTAGTACAACACATATTGACACAGATAAAATAAAAATTATTAAGAATGATTCAAAATATGTTCCAATTGCATCTGCAAAACCTTCATCACCATCATCACCTTCATCATCACAACAAAACCAATCCAATAAAGATACAACTGGTTTAAAATTAAAGAAAGCCAATAGTAAAAAAAGAATGGAACCATTATCTCCTGAAGTTCTAAGAGCTAACATAAGTGGAGCTAGAAATTCATTTAGAGTAATATCAAATGGACAAAATGGAAAGGTGGGTCAAACTGGAACAAGATCAAGAACAGGCTGTTGGATATGTAGATTAAGAAAGAAAAAATGTACAGAAGAAAAACCATCATGCATTAATTGTTCAAGATTGAATTTGACATGCTATTATGATGAAAAGAGACCTGATTTTGTATCAGATCCAGTTAAGAAAGCAGAAAAATTATTGGAGATAAAAAAATATACAAGAGAAGCTAAAAAGAATGCAATGAGGAAAAGAACATATATTCAATCCCCTACAGAAAGTGAAACTTCTTCAAGTACCTTACAGTAATAATACAAGGGGTTATTAATACTATGATTAAAACTTTAGTGTTTTTAGAGAAAGAATCACAATCATTCAAAGGGAATAATAATATCAAAGAATCAATCAGTATATATATTTTTATAACATTGAATACCTGCCATACGTAACGAACAATAAAGATAAACATTTATATATACTATGCCAATTTTCTACCACTCTGGAGTACCATTCATATTGGAATATGGATAGTATTGATGTTGATGTTGCTGTTGCTGTTGCTGTGGTGCGTGTGAGGGATTTAGATTTTGTTGGTAGGGTTGCTCTGGAACCTGCTGCATATTATTAACAGGTAAAAATTGGGAATTACTCCACATATTTGGCCCTTGTGAATTAGCAACTGGTATATTTGGGTGTGGTAACATAGCGTGAGAACCTACTGAGCCAAAACTCATATAATTATTATGTTGTGTAATATTCATGCCTACATTAGGCACCATGTTTGGAGGACCACGCATTTGGTGTGGTTCGTTCATGAAACCGATATTGTTGTTTTGTATCATATTCTGTTGCATAGGATTTCCAACAATATTATTCATATACATCGATGAGGTTGACGATTGTGCATAGTTTCCATTGGAAGAATTTTGGTTTGGATAATATAGAGGATGATCCAGTTGTGATTGCGAATGATTCATGACATTCGAATAAGGTGTTGTTGGAATACTTGGGATGGAAGAAGGCTCTGATTCGAGAGAGAATTGTTGCGCTTCAGTTGATAATGGCTCGCGATATGTCGGTTCATTAATCTCTTGTTTCGTTAATTCTCTCAAAGCGCTCTCAATTGTTGCCATATCAAGCGGAGTATCTACCTCCAGTGGTATAGATGGGTTTTGATAAGCCCCCGAACTTGTATCATCATGTATAGGTATGCTTTTGTATTGTTCTGTCACATCAGTTTCTTGGGTTTTACTGGCCATCCCAATACTTGGCTTGATATTGAAAGATTCTGGTGCGACCACTGAAGAACCACTGTATATAGGAACCGCCTTATTAGATTGTCCTTCATTGCTTTTGTTGGAACGATGAATATCGTTGAAGACCATGTCCTTTGAAGCATTTGGATGATTATTCTTCTTTACCTGCGATTTATTAATAATATCCTTTGAGAATAAACCTTTGGATGCTTTATCAGTATTCACATTAAAATTATCGTTCGAACGATACTTATTGTCTGTACCATAAATTGGTTCTCTGTTATTAAATTTTGTTCTCTTTCTTGTCTTTGTGAATTTATATCTCTCTGAATTTTCATCCCAGGTGATATCATGTATATTTTTTAATAAAAGGTTAGAACCCATTTTAATGATAGATTTCATTCTCAACGTAGATTCTCCTATCTTATCTAACTTTTCCGAATGATCCACGTGTCCTGATAATCTATCGATCCGATCAGAAGCTGTAATCATTACAGAGTCATCAAATTCAGAGTAGGATTTTCGAAGGATCGCCAAGCTATTTAATATCAAATCATCTTCCAACATATATGTTCTCGGTATCTTAACCTCAAGATCTGTGTAGGAAATATATTTACTGTCTAAAATACTATTCAATAAAGTAGCCACATGCTGAATAAAGAAAGAGTTGTTGTTAGCGTATTCTAATACATCTTCATTAGCTTGAACCCAATTTAACACTAAACGGGATATCGATAAATATTGGTATGTTTCAATATTTTTGATCCATCCATCGATTACAACATTTTCAAGAACAGTAGATATAAAAGAAAATGCAAACTTTAAGTAATATTTCTTACTTTGTTTAGTTACCTCTTTGTCACAATCTTTTTTCAAAGTCTCTATTAAATGGTAGCTCCCTATTACTGAAAGGACATTATGATAAATGAGTTCAATATTTTTAATATATCTAGTGGACATTCTTTCATACAGAGTTAACTCGAGATGCTTTAACCCAATGCTATTAATTGTTTGAGAGCCTGATTTTCCTGACTTATCAGCCCAGGACTCCTTTTGTAAGTGATAACCTAATAACACAATTGTATAATATTCAATTATTTCTCTATTAACAATTTTCGATCCAATTAAATCATCCTTATGAATTGATGAAAGAACTTCTAATACAGCTTTGTGTAATGAACTATCACTCTTCGAGTATAGGTTGTTAATATTTATTAATGCGGACCTGCTGCGTAATGGTACTAGACAACCAATGATATTATTAACACAGAGTTTTGAAACATTATTCAGTTGCATATAAATAAGACCTCTTTGGAAATATGTCTCCCCAACCGAAGGACACAATAGTATGGCCCAATTAAAATATTGGAGTGATTTATTGAAATCTTCCACTATGTATCTGTTATTGAATTTTTCACATAGAGCTTTATAACGGTGTAATGAACCAAGATACAAGAGACACCTATGATATGATCTTATCAATAATGCTGCGAATTTTGAATTATAATCTACTGGAGAAAGTGTTGGGTTGGTTTTTGATGCTAGCTTTAAATTATCTGACAAAAACTTTGGAATTATTAATGAGGTATCGACATTCTTATGGAATAACAAAATAGTGGTCATATAAAAATCGGCTACCGAACTTGAAAATTTCTTGACTTTAGAAGTCAACTTTCTGAGTTCCATGTAGCTAGGTTGATTCTTATTAGCAGATGAGCGTAATATAACTTTTCTAAACGATTGAAACCATTTGAAAATTGGGTACCATATTCTTTCCCAAGTCGAATCCAGGATTAATGGAATAAAATTTATATCCAATACAGCATCGTCGGTCTTGGATTCTTTCAATGCACGTTGAAAGTTATTTTCTAACACCGATTGTATTTTTGATTGTACAAAATTGATAAACCCTTTCAAAATAGTATAATCTTGAGTTAATTGGTTTGATTTAAAGATATCATTCAATTGTACTTGAAACCCATTTATTATTTCCTGCAAAGCGGCTCGATCATCACCATCTTTTGGTACACTTATAAGATCGTTATCTCCCATTGAAGTATCGCAGTAATCTACTGATCTTTTCTATAAATATAATAGTGTTCACTGCTTACGTTAGTAAGTTCTCGAAATAATTTTGGATGTATACGCTTAAAATTTCTTCAAATAAGGAATAATAACTTTGTGCACCTATTTGATATCTATGAACAGCTTGTGAATTATTGCACCTGGATAGATTTTTAAAACAGGATAACAATTAAATAAAAAAGAAATAGGCTATTATAATATTAGACTTTTTGATGTTTTTTAAATATTGTCATGAGGCTGATCGCAATTTTTATTTTTTGTGCTTTTTCCCTCTTGATGTACTGTTAATTTCACTTTTCTTGTATAAAAACAGCTATAATTCTAAAAGTTGCTTCACAATATGAAATATTATGATTAAAGGTCCAATTTGGTTATTTAATGTACCTTATTATATATTGTTTTTGTTTATAGTTTATAATGACTTACGACGAAAACTTCCAAAATTTGCTGAGCAAACAAATAAAACCAAAGCAAAAAAAAAAAACTGAGTGCAAAATTGAAAAAAAAAATGCCGATGATCAAGTAAGAGACGTTCTTAACCTTCTCATCGCAAAAATCAAACGAAAACAAGAAAACGAGGTCGTGACCACATAGAAAGCTTGAAGACACCATCAACTCATTAACTGGGGTTCAAAGTATCTATTATGTTCCGATTGTACAAAGTATGCCTATGAATATTATGTAACGGGTTTACACTATTTATAGATAGATGTAAACGTAATTTATAATTTCTCAACATGACTATTATCAAATATTTATGTGCTATTAAAATTATTTTGAAGTATTTATGTTAGGATTAACAATACTACTCATCGAGGTTGTTCTACACCAACATGTAGAGTTTTTGGGCTCGACTTGTACCCATGCTTGAATACCTTCATTCTCTAGAATCTTCTCTACTCTCTTCTTGATAATTGTAGAATTTTCACCCTCCGCATATTGAATATGGATATATCCGACTAGAGTACACTTATCAAGATTTTTAGACATATGATGATGGTTATGACTACTTTGGGAATCATGTCCGTGTGCGTGTTCATGTGCGTGATCATGTCCATGCTCATGGCTATGGTTATGATCGTGTTCATGATTATCCTCTTTATTTTGAGAACCTCCATGACTATGACTATGACCTGAACCACTTGGTTTTACAGGCCAAAAACGAGGTGTTGTATAACCTGTAATCCCTGGGGTTGTAGTGATTTGATTTAAAGCATTTTTCACAATATTATGTTTTCTTGTATCTAATTTCAATAATAAATTCAAAGTAGTAGATTTTAATAATGGTAATGAACTCAATAGAATCAAACTTGCAATCATAATAGAAGCAATAGGATCAAAAATATGTAGATTTGTTAGTTTAATCAATAATGTAGACACTATGACACCTACAGAACCTAATGTGTCTGCTAAAATGTGTAAAAAGATACCTCTCATATTCTCACTACTGGAATCATTATCTCCATGGTTATGACCATCACCAGTATGATCAAATGCTACCAGACCGACCAAATTTACTAATAAGCCAAGAACAGCAACAACTAATAATTCGCTAGTCTCTTCAATGACAGTGGGCTTAAAAACCCTACCAGCTGCCTCCACGAAAATACCACAAACAATTCCTAATAATAAAATACCATTAGTAAAACCTGCTAACGTCTCTAAGTATTTTAGATGGAATGGGAATTTATCGCTTGGTTTTTGAGTAGCTAGGACACTAGCTAATAGACCTAAAAATAAAGATGTGCAATCCAATGCCATATGTAATGAATCTGATAATAACCCAAGAGATTTTGAACGGAATGAATACAAAAGTTGAACAAACATAAAAGTTGTATTCAGTAGTAAAAATGAGAAAATTGATCTTGTATCTTTATTCAAAACAATTTGTGTAAATATACTCTTCTTTTGTTCATGAGATTCACGATGCTCCTTATGTGTAGATGATACAATTCTACCTCTATTATTATTATTAGTATGATGATGATAATCATGTTTATTATTTTTTATTTTAGTCGATATTCTAGAAATATATTCAGCAAGAACAACGAGCCCTACTGTTAATAAATCTTTTGTAAATGAAGAGGCTACTTTATTAAATGAAAGGTATTGTAATGATATGGACATGAACCCAATAATCAAAGTCATGAAATCTGGTATTTGAAGCATGGCCACCTGTGCTTGTTCATCGATGGTATCATCATCTGAAATTCGTTGAGAATATTCAATTAAACTATCCTTCAAAGAGAAGAAGAAAATGGTAACACAACCTAAATATACAAAGACCATCAGCAATTGTAAAGTGGAAGCACCATAAAATATTGTTAAAATCAACATTATTCCCAAAGATGTCAATGTTCCTAATATTAAAGAGATAATAACTTTTCTTCTAGTTGATTTATTTTCCAAATATTTTTCCTCTTGTGTACTATTATTATCTTCTTCAAAGTTTAAAATTTTATGTTTTAAAACAGGATATGTATAACGTAGTAATACAATTAGTATTAAATATATCGTTAAGCTTAATAATAGATAAAACCAAGGTTCAGTAGTAGACATGAAATTTGATAAAGCTCTATTTTCTTCATTGATACAATTAATCATTAGACATAAAATGATTAAAGGTAAATAAGTCTTAATAAAATCAAAGAAATTATTTTTAATTGAATTATCATATATTTGATTATTTTCATTATGAATTAATTGTTTAATTGTAACCATTGTAAAGATAGTTGTTTGAATTGGGTTTAATATAAAATTTAATAAAGATACAACCATAAATGTTAAAGTTATTGGAATTACAGAATTCCATGATCTTTTAATAATATTCACAGAACATCCAATAGATACAAATGATAAGGATGTAAACAATGGTAAAAATATCAATCTTATTATTAAATCACTTAACAAAAAATGATCTTGTTCATTATGCAAATTATTTGAATGATTATTATGTGATAGATGTTGTTCTAAAATATCTTGATATGTGGGTATAATCAAATTACTTGAAAGAATAATTGTTGGAAACGATATAATTAGTGGTATCCTTGCCAGAAAGGATTGTACCATAATGTAATAATTTATATGTGATGCAGGCAAAAAAATAATAATAACAATTGGAAAAAAGGGTTCTCTCTATAAATGCAAATATTTCAGAATAAGTATATCCATATATGTTCAATTCCTTAATATAGCTAGATATTTAATGAATAAGTGCATTCTACCTTTAATTTCTATAAAATTCTTGGCTTAGTTTTAATTGAACAACATACGAATTTACAATAAATTCATATTTTTCACTTTAAAAGGAATATCACTATAAACGGCAACTACCAGATAAAAATAGCTTAAATAATACGAAACGATGTAGAAATGATAAACACAAACTATGACAAAACAATTGTATATATACATTCATAATTATTTTGTTCATTGGTGTATAAACCTTTTCTTATTTAGTAATAGTGTCAAGATATATAGTATACGAAGATATTATCAATCGAACAAAACGGAATGAAAATAGACAGTACAGCATACCATCTTATACATTGCACATCTGTAAAAGTAAAATAAGCTTCTATAAAATAAGACAATTCTATGACATATCGAACTCTACATCTTACTAAGACTCATTAAATGAGTTAGCCACAAGATAAATTGTTCGATTTCTTAACTCTTTGCAAATCATATAACAAGAACAATTAGTTGCATGTAGATCAGGAATAACCACTGTCCTCTCTCCTTCTAAGTACCAGATAAACGAAATTGACCCTTCCTGTCAACAGTCATCACTCACTCTCTGTATCATCCAACCTCTGAGAATGTCTATATATATATATCATATTGTAAGTCATCATCACCACTCTATTCGTTTTCTTCATAGCAAAATTTCTCCGAACAAAATCGAGAAGCAGAAATTGTTTTTTGCATAATTGCTGATGCCCGTTAAATGCAAATTTAAAAAAATCTGCTAAATGGATAAATTAGTGTGACTATCAAAGTCATAATAATAATAACGGTACTTGCATCATGTAATTGTATTATTCTCTCTGGTTAACCTGAGAGAAAGAGAGAGAACAGGAAGGGAAGGGAAGGGGACTTAACATGAGTTGATATTATGTTGATATTCTTCTTTTTCTTTTTTCTTAGGTAGCAATAAAATGGAATCAGCCAGTCCATCGTAGACTTTGAATAATTTTTATTTTTTCTTATTTTCTATGCAGTGAGTGAGGTTTCATGGAATTTATTCTATTAAATGGTTAATTTATATATGAAGTTGAAAGGATAAGTTAAGCTATCCATATTGTGAAATCATATTAATATTTATTCACTTTTATAAAACTAATGAACTGATATTTTTTTTTTTCATAAAGTTATTTGTGGTTCGATTAATTAAGATACTGTGCATAATCGTTACATAAACCTACTTTAGAGTCAAATTTTTACATTCATTATCAGTTAGAACTTATCTATTGGATAGTTTATTAAAGAAGTTAAAAGTGCTGCTCATCTCGTTATTGTTATTATCTCTTTTAATTGGAAATTCTTATTGCAGGTCAATTTAAATTATTTTCAATTATTTTAACTGCATACAATATTGATCATCTCGTGGTATTATCCTATTATACTTCACTATTTCATATAATTTAGAAGAAAGACTTCTTTAAACAAATTTCTAACAGCCATTCGTGTTTTTTTGTAAAGAGAATTAATTAATTTTACTTTCCTACGTAAATTACATTTTCTTTAAAATTGATCGATACCTTTGACATTTTTATTCTACAAAGAATTATATATAGGAAGGTTAAGTTTACATTTTTATTCTTTTAATATTTTCCTGTGTTTTTTAAAACTTTAATTATAAAGACTATCATTTTTCTTTTGTTTGAAAACTATAACAGCATTACAACATATTCAATTCGACCAATCGAAATAAAAATATACATATAAATAGTATATCAATATGGGTTTTAAAAGAGTGTTTAAAGCTCTTGAGATTCCTGTTCAAGAAAGACAAACTTTGAATTTTTTACAAAATCCTGATTTATTACCTATTAAAAGAGAAAATCAAACATGGGGGTTTTGGTCAAATTTTGCATATTGGGGTGTTATATCCTTTTCTGTAGGTACTTGGATTAGTGCGTCTTCTGCATTAGATGTCGGTTTAAGTTATCCAGAGACTATTGGTACTTATATTGTCGGTGATGCTTTAACTATTGTATTTACTTTAGCGAATTCTTATCCAGGTCATGATTGGAAAGTTGGATTTACATTAACTCAAAGATTTGTCTTTGGTGTTTATGGTTCGACATTTGGTATCTTAATTAGAGTGCTATTAAGTATTGTTAATTATGGTTCAAATGCATGGTTAGGTGGGTTAAGTATAAATTTAATTTTAGATTCATGGTCTCATCATTATTTAACATTACCAAATACTTTATCATCTCATGTCGCAATGACAACAAAAGAACTTATTGGTTTTATGATTTTCCATGTATTAACTTGTTTCTGTTATTTAATGAAACCATATCATAGTAATTATTTTTTAATTATTTCATGCACTGCAACTTTTTTTGCAATGCTTGGTATGATTATTTATTTAACTAAAGAAAATCATGGTGTTGGTGATCTATTTACTTCAACGGCAGGTACCGCAACAGGTTCTACAAAAGCTTGGGCTTGGGTTTATATGATTTCATATTGGTTTGGTTCTGTATCTCCAGGTTCTGTCAATCAAAGTGATTATTCAAGATTTGGTTCTTCACAAACTGCTATTTGGTTAGGTACAATTTGTGCACTTTTAATTCCAACAACTCTAATCCCAGTATTTGGTGTCATTGGTGCCTCAACATCCCAATCATTGTATGGCTCTCAATTTTGGATGCCATTTGATTTCTTTGATCACTGGTTAAATTCAAATTATTCTGCAGGTGGTCGTGCAGGTGCCTTCTTTTGTGGTGTTGCATTCACATTGTCTCAAATGGCTTATACTATATCTAATTCAGGGTTCGCTAGTGGTATGGATTTAGCTGGTGTTTTCCCTAAATATATTAATATTAAAAGAGGTGCTTTATTGACTGCTGCATTATCCTTCGCATGTCTACCATGGAATTTTTACAATTCTTCATCAATTTTCTTAACTGTGATGAGTTCCTTCGGTGTCATTGTCACCCCATTGATCTCTGTCATGATTTGTGATAATTTCATTATCAGAAAGAGAAATTACTCTGTATCTCAAGCCTTTGTCGCTAACGGTGAATATTACTTCAATAAAGGTGTCAATTGGAGAGCAATGGTTGCTTGGGTTGTTGGGATGGCCCCAGGTTTACCTGGTATCGCATGGCAAGTTAATAACAGCTATTTCACAAATAAAGGGATTGTTAATTTCTATTATGGTGATTCTTTCTTCTCTTTTGTCATTTCATTTTTCTTATATTGGGCATTGTGTGTCTTCTTCCCATTCAAAATCGATATCTTACATGATGGTAAGGATTACTATGGTGCTTTCACTACAGAAGAAGCTATTAAGAAAGGTATGGTTCCATACGATGAAGTGGATGAATATGAACGTGATGCATATGGACTTGAAGGTAAAATGACTTACACTAGAGTCGAAGATATTACATCTATTGATTCCATTGAAGGTGACTTAGAAAAGAAAACACCTGTAGTATGTACTACGGTAGACACTGATGGCACTTTAGGAAAGACTAGTAGTTCCAGTGATAGTGCAGCTTCATTGAGTCAAGTTAATGTTCCTTCTAGACAAGAGTGAAAATGGAGGTAGGGACAATCCTAGATACTAACTCCTTTGCATATGGAAGAATAGTGTTCGGATGAGAAAATGTCTCATATGATAGACTAAAAGCGTGATTACTTAATTCACCTTAATTATAGCCATTCCATCATTAGAACTAGTATTCCTTTTATTTATTCATTTCCTAATAAATTATTTCTGTTTATATACGTATGTTCTTTAATTCTTTTGATTATTCAGCCAAATTTTAATATATCATTTTTGTGTGCCCTATTTACAATTATATAAAGTAAGAATACGTAGATTGTTTTTTTTTTTTCGAAAGGCTTTATTCATAAATTGGTACTTTCTTCCTTTAATTTTTTATATTTTAAGTTCAGTTCACGTATCTTTTCTTTGCGCTCAGCTCTTACATTTCTTAAATCAGGTGGTAATACAATACCCAATTCTTTTCTCAAATCGTTACAATCCATTGACAGTACTTCTTCCCAATATACATTAATTAATGGTTTGCATGTCAACCCTGTTCTGATTGCCCATGGCAAATATATATCGTATAATCTTTTTCTTTGTACAGGTTTTAATCTTAAGGGAGCTAATATCGCACCCAAAGTAGCCATTGGAACCCCCATATTAGCAGCTTCAAGGGCTTTTACAGTGATTTCACCCTCGATTACAATTGGCATATCATTCAATGCATGATAGAAATCGTGACATTGTCTATATCTTTTAAAAATATATGCATGTAATGGATCATCTATATAACTTACGGGAGCTCTTGTATCAGGAGAAACATTCTCACGTTTACACCATGTATAGAATTGATACCCGAATGAACCCTTTGGATATTCAGCCAGATGATCCATTTCTAATTGTTGAGTAGTAACGTTTGGTCTTTCTCTTAATATTCTCCTACCGGTAGGATCAGATAACATGGTACGTTTCATACTTTCTAAAAAAATGGGCCATGCTGTGGCTTCACCAAGTTGAACAATATTTAATCCATTTTCAGGATGAAAAAATGATCTCAGTCCACTTATTGCAAATAATAACGCTTTTTCAGTCGTATATAATGGGATATGACCTTCATAATTAGGAGTCATTGGTCTTGTATTTTTTAAGCTATTTATACGCCTTTGCATTCTTTCCTCCTTTTCAGTTTCATAATCAACATTCTTGTTATGTAGTTCCCCTCGTTCCATTGCATTTGCCATAGTTGCCTGTCGACCACCAATTAAGTCAACCAATGTGGCAGTCACAGCAGCTGCCAAAACAATCCCTCTGTTTGGCTGCACAAAATTCATCCTCATTGCATTCGAGCTCCGACATGATACGGTCTTTAGAGTGACTGTGTTAAACATTCTAAGCATGTTATTATCTAAATCCTAACCGATGACTTCACTTCGTCGTGATCAGTACAGCAGCTTTTAGTAAATAAGTCTAATTTATTATATCAGTGATGTCCTTTTTTTACTCCGTTCATTTGAAGCTTTCCCTTTAAATAATGATAGAATCCTTCTTTTTCACTGATTTAATTTTTTCAACGATGATCATATGCACACACCATATATATATGGTGATGATATAATAACAAAATTTCATCAAAAGAAAGAAAGAGATTGCACGTAATAGAACGCCATATAGATATATCTGTTTAATTAGATTTTTTCTTTGTTGACACACGATTGTTGAATAAAAATGTCAACTGATCTTTTTTTAAATAGCACTTTTGGTGACAATTCTGTAAATGAGAACAGCGGACACTCAACCAATGGACATGATGAAATTGATGCTGAGACCCTTTGGCTAATCAATGAAATTATTAAACCTGAACTCCCTAATATCAGTGATAATGTTAGTCTCTGCCTTCAGATGTTAGAAAATGATCAAGTTTACAAAATGCCAGTTTCAAATGGTGTGAAAGAAGGTAGCTCTGACGTACCATGGATTAAAGGTGTTGTATCTAGGAAACAAGAATATATTACTGGTTTTAGGGTTATGGTGCGATTCCCAGATTTTCAAAATGGAAAAGTGATAGCATTGGAGATGAGACCCAATTTTAAATATTTATTGACCCAATTTGGATCGATATCAAATAATTTGCATAAAATCATAAGTTTACTTGATGATTTGGAAACTATGACGGATATACATCAATTTATAAAAATTTATAAAGATATTGTACAGATATTAGATGCTTCTATAAATCTTTTACAGGCACCACCAAGTAAATTAACATACCCGGAGAATAATAATGAACCAATGAAACAAATATTTGAAAACTATAAAGAAAACTGTGATAACTCTACAAACCTTATAGCATTGGATCTTATCTTGGTGAAAAATGAGCTTTGCATCGATTTTAGAAATTTAAATAAAGTGACAAAGAAACCGTGGTGCACAGTGGATCCAAATACTGGCAAATCATTTATAGATAAGATTAAAGATGAATTGATGACAGCACGAACAAAAAATGTCAAACTTATCCTGGAAGAGAATGGACTGACTGTTGAAGATTCAAACTTCTTAAATATTCTTCTTAATAGTACTTTCAAACCTGATACCACCACCACACTTGCGGAAGCCCAGGATTATTTAAGAAGAGGTTCAACATTTGATGGTAGTGCTGTGACAGAGTCCTCGAAAATAATGGCATCCACAAGCGATCCAATACTGATATGCGTTAGTTCCAAACTAAATGGATTAAAATATTCCATAGACAATCATTATGAAAATTTGAAGATACACCATTAAATAATTATTGACCCAATAAGGTACACACCAATATAAAAAAAATATTATTACATATATATATATATATAAATATATTCCCATATGCATATTTGAAAAATTCAGTTTTTCAATTCATTAAGTCTCTTTTGTAATTCATCTTTCTTCACCCTCAGTTGTTTCAATTCTTCTAATTCCTCATTTGTAGTTGATCCCATTACAACAACACCGCCAGATTCGTTCGAATTATCCATACTATCATCATTCTCAACTGACTGATTGTTGTAGTTATTATTAAGTTTAAGTTTATTCAGTTCATATTTTTGTTTGAGTGTGTTTAAATCAATGGCTCTACGATTAAGTGTCTCTTTCAGTTTATCTCCTAAAGCATGTATTATAGGTTCAACCTCTTCATTTAAATCAATTCTAGCTCTCTCGATATCGAATTCAGGTACAAGTTCATACACTTGTTTAAACCGCAGCATTGTTTTGGTCAGATCATCATTCTGTTTACTATCTTCTTGTAACTGGTGTACAGATGACTCCAGGAGTTCATTTATTTCTTGCAAATGCCACAGCGATTCTTCTAATGGGTCATCCATTTCTCACCTAATTCACGTAAAATTCTAGTTTCTTGGTACTTAGATATCCGATACCTCAGAAAATATATAAATCGTTCATAAAATATAATATCGCTCTATGATATATGTTCTATCTCAACGTGTCTTACCCTTGTTGACAAACACCAAATCAAACAACAAATAAATGGCTTGTTAATTATTTTGCGTTGTTAGGCCCAAAGCGAAAGGAATTACCACAAACAACTGAAACATTTTTTTGGACTTTTAAAGATAAAACACAGATAGGGAACCACCTGGCAAAACTTTCAAAGCTTGATGAATATATAGATCAAGGGCAAGAATAAAAGGTGGTTAAATAAGTTGTTAATAAATTTCTCCATATTTTCATTTTCATTTTTGGACGAAAAGTAAAAATAGAATCGTCATTGTTATATATTCATAGAAGAAGCATGGCCGAAGTTGATAAGGGGAAGAGACTACAATCTCATTCATCTCCCAAGATTAAACAAAATAGTAGGATGACTACTGGTAGAGCAAGATCTAATTCGAGAAGTAGTGGGTCGAGGTCACAACCATCTTTTGATCAGTTTGATCTCGCGATCAATCCAATTACAATGGAGCCCGTAAACACAAGTAGTCCGAGTGCAAAAGGCGCTAGTTCAGTGATACCTATTGTTTCAACAAGCCCCCCTAGTCTTAATATGATAGATTCGATTTCAAATACAACTTTAGAGAGGCAGTCTGTGCCACCTCCAACGTTCACATCACGGAACAGATATACGCATATTCTTATTTTAAGGTCATTAAATGGTACATTTGAAACAAAATATTTGGTGATTCCATTCAAACCTGATGCTTTAAAACTTGGAAGACCTGTAGTGAGCTCTAATGGTGGAGGAAGCAATGGTAATGGGTCGGGTCCAAACAGCATCAATGGTGGTGGTAATAGCAAACGTGATGCTAGCTCAATGGTTAGATCAGATAATGGGAATTTCGACTCAAGGGTCCTGTCAAGAAATCATGCATCCTTATGTTGTGATAGCAAGACTGGTAAAATATATATTAAGGATTTGAAATCAAGCAATGGTACATTTGTTAATGGAAATAGAATAGATCAAGAGTACGTAGAACTGAAAGTGGGTGATGTCATTGATTTGGGAACAGATATAGATACCAAATTTGAACATAGAAAGATTAGTGCATTTGTTGAGGAAATATCAGTTATACCACTTATAGATGGTATCACAGAATTACCAAATACATTTTCAGAAAATGGGAATAACAAGGTAGGTCCAAATGGCACAGCGTCATTGAGCGTGGCGAAGACAATCCAAGGTCATACACAATTACAATCACAATCATTTTCTAAACAACAATCACAATCAACATCAATGCATAAAGATAAATTTAACATGCATAGAGGTGGCGAAGATCCCTACTTAGCAGTTACTGCATCCACGGCTCAAAGAGCGGCATTTGAAGCAGCAATGTTTGGGGACGTTAATAACCTAGATATCGAGGATGCTGTATTAGGGCCCGAAACAGAAATATTGAGTGGCATTTTTATCAATAATTCGATCGGAACGAGCCCCAATCTAATAAATATAATAAAATCATTGGCCACTGAAATTGCATTAGAAAAACAAGAATTCATCAAATTAAAATCTATTGAGAACTTTTTGGTTAATTATACTACGAACCTGGAATATGTTAATAAACTGATGATGGAAATGAACGATAAACAATTGGTGAAGTTACAAAGCTCATTAAAACAACGATTTACTGAAAAGCATGAAACCTTAATTAAGGATACAAAGGCTCAGATTGAAAAAACTAAGAATGATGCCAATGAATTTAAGGATATTTGTAAGGAAAAGGGAAAAAATGATAGTGCTACGATACGGACACTTGAGATGCAAGTAGATGATCTAAAGACAAGATTAGAGGTTGAAAAATATAAGAATACAAAATTACAGACTTCAAGCGTAAATCCGAAGAAGGTTTCCAAAGTCAGTATAGCTGATAGTACAACTTTTGCAAAAGAGGATCTCGATGAGAAAGAAAGTTCAAAGATAGACAACGACGGGCAGTATTTAGGTGGCCAGAAAGAGGGTACTGGGAATGGTTTAAAAAGTGCTGCATTATTAACCATTACAGCGGTTTCTGTTGGTTTTATAGCATTAATTCTAAAATATTCTTCCAAGTAACAAGAATTTTAATACCATTGTATATAAACATTGAATAAAAAAATGTGCAAGGCATTACATTTCTTCTTCGTAATTATATAGTAAAAGAACATTCGAACAATGAAAATAAATTACAAATATTTTTTTTCTCTGTATTCTTATATTCTTATAATTTCTGAACTCTATGCCAGGGGATGTCATCGAGAAAGAAAACTTTTCTTCAACTGTAGAAAAAAAAATATTGAATTTGACTAGGAAAGCCATCATACCATTTCCGTATACAGACTCGAAAGATTATTACTTAAAATATCAGGCACTCTTATATAATAGACATTGGTGTCCATATGATTTTCCTCTCAAACTAATTATATCCTTCTATGATGCATAAAGAGATCGACCAATTAATTTCATGGTTACAGCAATCAAATGATTTCTATCTCAATGAGAAAGTGGCAGTAAAGAATATACCAAATGAAGGGAAGGGTATTGTTTTATTAGATGGCCAAATTAGAAGGAATGAAATTGTTATATCTATACCTAGTACTCACCAAATAAATTTTAATTCCGTTTTATATCATATTTCAAAGTTCAATTCAAATATCAATGTCCCCCATATAACACATAGCGGTGAAGAACAAGATAAAATATCGCATATGTATGATGAACCAAGAGTAAAAGCATACAATATTTTTACAACAGAGTCTTTATTGAAAATGAGTTCATTCCAGTTATTGTCTCTATACATCCTTGCAGAATGGATATTCTTACCTAAATGGAGCAGTAATACCATAGACTCATATTGGAAACCTTTCTTTAATGTGTGGCCCAAAATAGATGATCTAAAATCCATACCTGCGATATGGGAAAACTCAAATATTTCACAATATAAATTGTTGTTACCTTTTTTGACGAGTGATTCTGAAAATCATTGCCAGAGACTTAATAACCTTATATCTCATGATTGGGCCGTAATCCAGCCTATTCTTGAAGAATGGCTACTGCTGTTTGACATTCAGTACAACATCGAGGACGTTTATGAGGATTATTTGCATGTCTATTTTATAATCAACTCACGTTGTCTCTATTCAGAAATACCACTAAAAAAGGAAGATATTGCAAGTAAATTTACTTTGGTACCGTATGTTGATTTTATTAACCATTCAGCTGAAATGGACCGCTTTTGTTTTCCTAAAATAGAATATACACATGCAAATATATCTGATGTAGGACAGTTTGTAATACGTGGTGGACCATACACTTATAAAATTCCTAACGAACAGATACTTTTCAATTATGGTCCTCATTCTAATGATTTTCTATTGAATGAATATGGATTTACGCTTCCCACAAATAGTTGGAACTATCTTGATATAACATATATTATTAATGATATTATTGGGAATGATAACGACGTAACAAAATATTTGAAAACTAATGATTACTGGGGTGAATACACAATCAACCAGGACGGTTTTAATTATAGGGCTACCGTGGCGTTGAGTTTATTTGTGACTAAAGATTACCAAAGGGTCGATAAACTCATTTTGGGTTATATGTCTGAGGATTACTTTGCCAACAAGATTGTAAATATCACAACAGAAATTTTAAATAATTTATTGCTAGAATATCAACAAAAAAATGATGCTTTAATAAATTTAGATACCTACAATGAAACAGATCCATGCTTTTATAATTTATCTAATATATATAAGGGGCATGTTGATATGTTGACTGATGTTAAGAATAAATTATGAATATGTGATTTCTATTATAGTTTAATTAAAAACTAATAATTAAAAAAAGTATGTCTTGACTCATATATGTGCTTATATATATCATTTCCGGTGTAATTTCTGTAAAAATTAGGGACAAAAAGGTAACGGGGGTATTTTCATATTTTATGTTGTGGTTTTTCTATCTACAAGTAATGATAATCCAATGTTCTTGCCTTCTCTAACTCGACCTTACATTCTATTAGCCAACTGATAGTCATATTCCATCGGCAGTCAGTTTTGCATTTATATGCAAGCCTCACAAAATAACCAGTTAACTGCTTTATATCTGTTTGATTAAGATTTTTCTTTTGAATATTTAAAACACTTTCTATTCTTTTCCCTTGTTTTAGTTTGTTTGTGATTAAACTGTATAATCGTTCAATATCAAATGCGATACTGTAGTGAGGTAATTTTGTAAGAGATGGATACCCCATTGAAAGAATTTTCACTTGTTCCTGTATTAATGATCTTAAAATAAATTCTGATCTTCGTGCTTTCAATAATTCGTTAATATATTTACAATCGAATAAAACAGCCAAAGATTCGATGCAACTATTTGCAATCAAGTTCTCAAAACGAAGCATCATTAATTCTGAGTAACCAAATATTTGAACAGATATGTTCTGCGTATCTTGTAGTAGATTTACTAATGGATTCCGATAAAGATTTTTCACTTGAGAATCCTCTAGAGATAAGTCAAACGTTTTATATGATTCTGGCACTGAACATAATAAGAGACTCAGTTTACTGTTCGCTATTAAAGGTGAGACCTCAAATTCGCTACTTGCAATGTTGTTTTTCTTCTCCCCACTTATTACATTTATTGGAGAGTTATTTTGTTTCGTCATTCCAAGAATCATCTGTGGTTTGGGAAATTCATTTTTGGCTATTATTTTATCATAAATATACTCTATAGATCCTATGGGTGGGTTTAAAAAGAGAACGTTAGATGTTTCATCAAGGGAATTGTGGTACTTCGATATTAGATGAGAGATATTCTTTTTACTGTTATCAGCAAGTATAAGATTCTCCATTATAGCAGGTTTTCCAGTTGCAAAAGTTGGCGGAGAGCACGCAGCCATGAACTGGATGGAATCATCATCTGTCAACCTTTTTACACTTCCAACTTTTGTCAATTTCGAGTTGCCATCTAGGAATCTGTTCAATTTTTTCTGATCGTTTAGTAATAGTACTATATTTGGTATACTCTGTTGAGCTTTCAGCTGTGCAATTTCATAAGCAAAAAAATTCGAGAATATAGAGTTTCCCAGGACATACACTCTTGGGATAACTGTCATTTGGTAATTTTACTCCAGATCACAAATTTCTTATTATCTTGCACTCAATTTTTGGTTAATTACAAGTCCTTTTATGTTACTCTTTGTATACCGAACATTTTTAATATAGCTGAACCTCTTTTGCCTAGAAAGTTCTTGTTCGGCCATCCTTAATTAGTTTTAAATTTTCGATGGAATAGGTTACCTAGTGACATATATATATTGAAAGACGTCTGCACACAAAAGACTTAAAAATTGTAGTTCAGCTGATCTTAAAAGGCTATTAGATATAAACCTTAAACAGACAAAACATATATTTGTGTATTTTATTGTTTTTGTTACTAATTAAATTGGAACGCAATGTTAATTATTGGTTTAACTGGGGGAATTGCTTGTGGTAAGAGTACGGTTTCGAGAAGATTAAAAGATAAGTACAAGATTCCAATTGTCGATGCTGACCAAATCGCAAGAGATGTTGTAGAACCTGGTACTAAAGTTTATCAAGGTATTGTAAACCATTTTAAGGATAAGATTCCTGGGTTACTATTGGATGATGGTCATTTGAATAGGCAAATGTTAGGTAAATATGTTTTCAGTCATCCTGAAGACTTGAAGGCTCTTAATGATTTGACGCATCCAGCCATCAGGTACACTATGCTAAGAGAAGTATTGGGCTATTATGTACGTGGTTATAGCATGTGTGTATTGGATGTTCCATTATTGTTTGAAGGTGGATTAGACGCATTTTGTGGAGTCACTATAAGTGTAGTCTGTGAAAACGAGACACAATTGGAAAGATTACAAGTTAGAGATATTACGTTGAGTATAGAAGATGCTCGGAATAGAATTAAATCCCAAATACCTATGGAAAAAAGAATGGACGTAAGTGATTATGTTTTAGAAAATGATAAATCTGTTGTTGATTTGTATCAAGAGATTGATAAGTTAATGAAAAAGATAAAGCCAACGTCTTTGAGGACGATATTAGAGTACTTCCCACCATTTGGAGTAGTGAGTGCAGGCGCTATAGTTGCTGCCAAATATATAAATGGTAAACCAAGATATGTGAAGAAGATAACTTGAAAGTAAATGTTAAAAAAATTGTTTTCAGTTGGATCTAAGAGGTTCTGTTAAGCAAATGAAAAGAAGAGAAAATTCTAAATATGTGCTGGCATCTTTATATAAAGTAATATTTGGTGCTCTCACTTCATCTGAAATATATATGTGTGTGTTTGTACTGTTGTCTTATTTCTTAGTTTACTAGAAAATAATGAAATAGAATTATATTGAAAATACGAGGTTAACTCTATGTCCAAATTCTACCATATGTGTCAATATCTCTCAATAGCATACCGTGGTTCTCTTTAGGTCTCTTTGATCGTGGAGGGATATAAGTTGCATCGTTATTATAAGAGGCGTCTACCATTGAACTGTTTATCCATTCTTGATTGTAGGTTCCTCCCATTTTAAACTGCAATACTGTTTGATCTGAACATAGGACAGCTAATATTTTTTGGTCAGGACTATATGTCATATCTTGTATTTTTTCTTGAATATTTATAATTCTAGTGTAACCGTTATACTTGCAATGGTATACAGGATCACTCAGCGATAATGCGTAAGATTGTATCGCATATTTATTCGAATCTATGGTTCCACCAGATATTGGCATTCTTATAGTCGAATTTTCACGTCGAGAGTCACCCCTATGAGGATGTTCGTATAGTAGCTCTAGTGATTCATTATAATAGCTACTTGAAGAGCGTTCTGCCATATTCTCAATAAAAGATGCACCCTCTGATGCCGCTCTATTTATACTGTGTAATACTTCAGCATAATCGTTGGCCTCTCTTTCAGTTTTCACAGCATTGAAATTTCTATCATGGTACCCCAAAAATATTAATTTGGATGAATATTGGGCTCTTTCTCCTAATTCTACGGCAACAACACTAACAAACTCAGTGATGGGTATTATTTTTACAACTTTAGAATCGGTTGGTAAGTCTGTTACAAAAAATGATGCTGGGTCAAACGTACCCTTTTGGTCTACATTACGATCCTGTAATAATCTCGATTGTGTAGAATCAGTAATAATTGCATACTTATTAGCAAAAAAATGGAACATTCCTAAGTCTCCTCTTCCGTAGAACTTAACTTCGTTCTCAATAAATATTTCTTGATCAATACCCTTGAGAATAATATGAAACATAGAGTCCCTATTATCCTCAATATTGTAATCTCTACTAAACGTATCACTATTTCCGCTTTCTTGCATATTAACACGTAATAAATAGATTCTTTCAGGCGTCACACACACTTGTTTACTGAGTTCGGCATTAAAAACCTTAGTTTGTAAGCATCTTACAGTAACTTTTCCATTCTTTGAAGAAACTTCAACAACCTTAATTAATCTCTCAAAAACGAAAAGTAATGTATCATATTGCTTACTTTTGGAATGTATGTTTACGTCTACAACATTAATTAGTTTATGATCTTTTTCGAAAACAGAATTATCTAATGCTAGAACTTTACCATTTTCTAATTTAATACAGTACCAGTCATTGTAATCGTAATTAATGACAGCCAGTCTATTAAGTCTTTCAAGATAAATAAACGTTTTATTATTACTTCTCGTATATTTTAAAAGGCAATTGGTGTATGTCCAACTGTAGTAATTTGGTTTAAAAATCTTTAGTCCATTGGCAAATAAAATGTAAAGAGTGCATTTCATGGGATCATTCGATATCTCATCATCTGACTGGACAGAAATATCTAGAATCAAATTTTCTTTCCCCTGGTATGGTATCTTGAGCTCATACAAGAAAGGAAAATGCAAGTCATAATTGTTCAAATCTCTAAAATTAATGATAAACACACGATTGGCAGTAAAAGCCAAAACAGAACTTCTCGTGAACTTTCTGAGTTGTATATCTTGTGGCCCTGTCGGTAATAATGGTAGATAAATACTTCGGTATTTGTCATCACCAAGTTTAATACCCTGGATTACCGCACCCTCTGCTGAATATACACGTAATCCATCCAGAACTATAAAATCGTTAACCTGGGTTGATATACTATCACGTTTACGTTTATCGGTATTCTTTTGATATAGCGTTGGATACAATAAATATGGTACAGCTAAAAATAATTCAAACTTGTCAGAGTTTTCATAATTTAATTTATCTATAAAATATAGCTTATTGCCACTTTTGCTGCAGCCAGCACCACTTTTATTTTCAGACACGCTTTCAAAATGTACATCCCCCGTCGTATCATGGAACCATTCAATTATATTGTGGCAAAAGTGATTAAGTATTGAGGATTCAGAATTCCAGAGGACTATCACTCCTAATGAAAAGGTAGCCCCGTCAATTTTAAATTCAGCAGTGTATGTTTTAACGGAACCGGTTTCGATAGAAAGAACGGATACACATTCTTCGTCGACATAAATTAAAAATTCTTTATATGGCTCAAAGAGTAATGGAATTGAGGTAGTATTAAAATTGTTTACTAATATTCCTTCTAAGTTGATAATTTCAAAATTAGTCTCCTCATTTTCAGCATCGTGAAGGGGTTTGAGTAAATATATATCCATTACCTGTTCTTTATCTGTTCCAATGATAAGTAGACTATCATCCGGAAACTCTATATCCAAAAATGTTTGCCACGAAGTCAATGCATCGAGTTTAAAAGTTTTTATATTATTGTAAATATTAAATATCCGAAGATTCTCCACCGCTTCTGAGACTTTCAAATAGGGTAATGGATCTCGATCGTTTATGACATTTGTAATTTGAGATACGGATGAATTGGAAAATACCCACACATTATTTTTTATTATAGCGATCTTGGTATTATTGTCAGAACTAATATCCTCAGTTTTCCTTGATAGAACATTTTGATATGCCAACACAGACGTGGAATTCAGTGTATTCAACAGGTTAATTCTAATATTAACCATTCTATTGAAACTCATTACTTTCATGTTATAGCGTAAACTTTCATTTTCTAAAGATGGTAGATATGAAGGAGAAATGAATGAAACACCTTTAAATCTTGTAAGCGGGTGTAGGTCTATGGTTGTACTGCTAATTAAACAGGCAAATATTGTTCCTGTTGCAGACGCTGCAACTATACAGTCGCTGTATTGATCAAATTGTTCAGAATTTAGAGATTGTAGTTTTTTCAATAAAAGACTACATGAAAACCAAGATATTATTCCTTTCATATTATTAGGTAAATGTGCCGTAATAAAAGAGGTTTCACCTGACATAATTTGATTTGCAGATATTAATGTTAGACCATCCTTCTGGCTAGTAAGAACTCTATTCTGTTGTAGTGGTATTGAGTTATAGTTATAATAATTCTTTTGGTATGTCAACTGATGTACTCTCTTGTGGTAAGGATCTAAATTACTCCACTCTATACAAAGATGAACTACTCTTTCAGCATGTGTTGTTGCAACAAAAAGCATAATAGGGTCATTACTTTGACTATTGTTTATATCATCGGAAGTATCATTCTCCTCGATAGCATTGATATTATTTGCAGAATAATTTTTTACATTACTAACAAAAAATTCGCAGGACTGTATTGTGTAATCATCTAAGCATAGATTATTCACCATAGTAAACTCATATTTATCTAAAAATCTGAAAAACTTTATATTTCCAGAAACTGTATCTGTTATAATAAAATTCAAACCGATACGTGAACTTTGTTCCGCTGTAATTTTCCAATCACCACGACATCCTAGGTCCCAATATTGCAAAACAGTGGACATTTCCAAATTAAAATCAATTTCAGAATTCCCTATATTCTTTGTTGGCAGGATTGACAATAGCATCCCATTAGGTTGGACCAATAAGAGAATGTCATCCATTACATCATTACAGGCGTTAACAACAATGGCATCACTAATTCCTTCACGTAATTTAGTAGTTGTCGGACTTCCAATAAAACGAAAGGAATCATAGCTGAATAATAAAGTTGAATAAATAAACTGAGAATTTTTCTCTGTATCTTCAATTGAATATTCTTCGTTACGCATACTTTCTTTTCTAAAATCATAAGTCATAAGTTGTGCATTCAGTAGTTGCCGATCATTATATATATAAAAATGGTTAAATGGTTGAAGGTTATTAAATCCCTGTTTATCTATTGGTCTATATATTTTTTGAGAAGCATTCATATTTTTTAAAAAATCATTAAAATAGTGATTGTTTGATAAATATTTATATGGTAATGCAGTTCTTGCTCGAAACCCTGTTGTTTTTGTCCTAAGAGTAAAAAGTTTATGGCGTGCTTCCTTAAGTATCTCATTTTCGTGATATGGATCATCATCATTCACATCTATCCTGTCATAGTTGTCATATGACGTATCAAGTTCTGCAGTAGAGCTACCACCATCACTACTGTTATCACTTATTTCATCGTAAGAATCATAGAGTAAACTTGATCTTCCGGAAGTCTCTAAACTGTCTTCGCCTGGAACGATGACTTGGTGATTGATCTGGTTTATTCCATTATACGGCATCGATATTTGTATTATATCTCTTTAAATAATGCAGGTAAGAAAAAAAAACAAATTGTCTGATTGTATCGTATAATTCAAAATTCAACCGAATCTTGGTCTTTATTGTATTTATATATACAAATAATGATAATATGTGTACCCTATGAGGATGTATCGAATTTAGTCTTCTTGATCCATTTCTCTCACAAATTCTTTAATATCCATCATTTTTGACCCTTCAAACGAATTCGAAAAAAAACAAAGCCAGATATTTGTGAGATAAAAACTTTAACTTCCCCGGTTGAATGATAAGGCGAAGAAACTCGATGCTTCAAAGGATTTCATAGTTCATGATAGATGTTCAATTAGTTTGGCGTCTCCAACGTTAGATGGTGTATAAGCTCTAGTTTTGTCTCTCTCGATATTTTATTCAACTTCACTCCTTCTTGTTCCAAGTTTCTCTAAATTTTTGGGGGGGTTTTAAATTTTAAAACTCAACAAATTACGATTTCAAATTACGATCTTTCTTATATATGTCAACAAAGTTGCATTATTACAGATCTCAACAAAGAAATTTGATGTGGTAGGTCCAAGCAGCCTTATACAGAACCTGATATCAAAATAATAAGTTGTATTCATTTAATTACACAATGTTTACCTTAGCCGCTGAAACCAGAAAACAATTTTTTTATTTGAATGATAAGAATATCTGAAATGAAGTAGTCAATCTCTGTACTACTACTCATTATAATGTGTGGGAAATTAAACTCAAGAATTTTTATACAGTTTTTAAGTTTATAACAACATGCTTTTCAAACGTTCTTGCTCCGATCAGTATCCACAGAGAATACAGATACAAAAGGGAGTATATATTTAGAAGAGTAGACTATTGAGCTATAGTAAGAAACTTAAGGTATCATTGCACGTGAAGTTGATGCCGTTATCAAAAGATGAAATAACAATTTAAACAAATAATTACTGTATTCAAATTATTATTCAATTGTACTAAATAGAATGCTGTAACTGTTAGATATAAAAACGGAAGATATTCTCATTAATCACTTGTCGATGTGGCTCTTTATGTGTCTGTGAGTATATGATAGATCTAGTTCACCACACTATATGAGTTATTCCCTGCAGCTGTTTCTTTCGTAATTGCAAATCGCTTTAAAAAAAATCGTACGATCATTTCTTTGTTTCTGAAAGGGAGCCGTTAAATGACTGCTAAATATAGTAGTAGAAAGCGGTGAAGAGCAATCGAATATAATGTCAATCATATTAAATAAACTATTTCAATAAAGATGGCTGATTTGTTAGCTCTAAGTTCTCGAGAGTACTACATTATAATTGGTTCGATAGTGAAAGAATATATGCATATATATAGTCTCATATTACTGGAGCCATTATTCCCAATGGTTTCAACAATTCGAAAGACATTACCTCAAATATAATATTTTGTTGCGGTGCTCTAAAACTACGCCTTCTTAACATACTTATATCCCTAAGTCGTTATATTTAAACACATTTTCGAGTGAATAATAAAACAGACTGTGATTTCCGAATTTCATATTTCTTTAAAGATGGAATTTATTATTATTTACTTACTATGTTACTTAGCGTCATTTCGGTGTTTGGTAGAAGCACATCATCAAGAACATAATGTTACATTATTTGTAAGAGATAGATTGCCTGGGTCACGCAATTGTAAGTTTATTGCAATAGGAGCAAATGATTTTCAGACAACCTACTTATATTCTTCAGCAATTAGCTACTGGGAATCTCTATATTCCAATATAAAAACAAATATGAAGGAAAAAACAGTAGTTTCTTATACATTAATTGATGAATGTTACGATAAGTACTGTCAAGAGGTTGTTGTAGTATTGTCAAGCAATGGAATTAAGAACTATCAAATCAAGACACAAAAGTTTTCTAGAAATGTTACAGGCCATACTTTTTCCCAGTTAGTGAAACCTGCCTATCTTGCATCTAGTTATACAGATCAGTCAACGACACTACCAGCGTCGAAGCATTTAATTTCTTCTCTTTTAAATTATATGCTAAGAAACATTATGGATTTGCGTCTATATGTACAAAACTCGTCGTTCATCCGGCACTTTACTTCTGGTTACTCGTTGGAAATTGACAACGTTATACTAAACCAATATCCAGGTTGGATGTTATTTATTTCAAGAATTGATGCTCAAAAAAGCGATCCCAATATCCTACCGTTTAAAGAACTGGCCTGTGTAGCAAAAATAGAGATTGAAGCAAAGAATAACTCTTATAAATCCGCAATGTGTGTTCACGCGCAGAATAGTAATGGTCTGAACTTGAATATGAGACTAGTGAAAGAAAACTCCGGCACTGCAGCACACCCTTGGAGTTTACCATGTCCCACTATAGACAATAGACGGGATCTAGCTTTGAAATGCTGGACTTGATATATGCTTTTTTGATGTTCCACAGACATCGTATTCTTATCTAATTGTTTAAATTTTGTTGCGGAACTCCATTTTTTTTATTGAAATAATACGCAGAAGATATCATTTGTTGAAAACACATATTTAAGTATTCGATTGAATCATGTTTAAATGATGTAGTTATTCTCTGGATCCGATGCATTGTGGATGCGTAGTTAAGTTGCAGTGGGTATCAATCATATGAACGTTAAGATACATTTTTTGTATACGTTTTTGTTGTAATATCGCAACTTATTCTGGTTTATATATACTTTAATATATTTCCGTTTATAAAAGCGTATTCGTTTCCAGCTCCAATGTACATTGTCGTCTATCAACGATTTGTCGGTTACTACAGAAAATTTATAGTTCTATCTCTATTTTTATTCTGAAGCTAATAACATCTAGCTTGGCCAATAGTACAAAGGATTACTGATGATAGGGAACTTTCAGATAAACTCAGCACCGAAGAAACAGGTATAATTTCGTTCCTAGTTTCGTAAAAATCTTGATTGTTAGTGGAATCTGGGCCAGTTTTTTTCTTCTTCTTTTATGTAATTCCTACGCATAGTTTAAGAAGGGTATCAAATAATTATCTTCAATTAAGTTCTAAAACCTTCTTTTTTATAGCTTTGGACTCTGGTAAAAGCAAGGGCTAATTTTGGAATCCTCCAAATTATTCTTCTTCAAATGCTACTGCAGATTCATATCCTATTAATTCCTCATAAGGTTATATGAGCTTCGTCATAGAAAAAGTTCGATATGGTATCTGTTGTTTTATATTTGTCTCAAGGAATTATTTATGCTGCAAAAAGTCTAATTGCATGTTTGCTGTAGCTCATCTATCTGTGTTCTGGATATCATCACTCTGCATTCACTTCATGCTGTCTCTTCTCTTATTTTAAAGTTCATTATATAATCGCTCTCAAGAAAATTGAATGAAAAATATTAAAAAATTAAAAAATGTAAACAAATCAATTTCAATATAGACATTTATATTTTAAAGTTGGATGACTTTAAGAACATAAAAATATCTAAATAGAAAGAATTGAGTTCCCACTCTACATAATTTTTGAGGATGTCTGAAACACAAAATGAACAAATTCTAGATCAACAAAATGGCGTTGTCTTTGGAACTTCATCAGCAGCGAGAATCAATGATAATCTGCAGACACCAAATTCAAATAAAAGAGACCTTGAAGAGGATCACCTTCGAAATGAGAAAAATAAATTAACTAAACTAGATGCACCCAATTACAATTCTAGTGTCACTAAAATAGATCCAGATTTTATTGATTTTAAGACACGATTATTACGCCATATCAATCAAACATTACCTTATGAAGAAACTAAAGTGTTTTCATATCTAACAGAAACAAGACAAGAAGTATCGAGAATTTTAAAACAATCAATCATTCAGAAGGAGAGTCATTCGGCTATTATGGTTGGACCTAGAAACAGTTATAAATCGTTTTTAATTAATAATGAATTGCGATATCTATCTAAAGAACATTCAGATCAATTTATCGTTGTTAGATTGAATGGGTTAATACACTCTGAGCAAACAGCTATTAAGAGTATCGCATTACAACTTGAATTAGAACTGAAAAGATTGAATCAGGATGAATTAACGCCGACAGATGATAGTGTTGATGTTAGTACGGGTTCATTAACTGAGGTATTTGAGAAAGTTTTGAAATTATTGGATGCTACCAAGACACATGCAAATAAAGACGGCAGTGTATCTGCAAAAGTTTCAGTGATTTTTGTATTTGATGAAATTGATACGTTTGCCGGACCTGTTAGACAAACTTTGCTCTACAATTTATTTGATATGGTAGAGCATTCCGTGGTACCGGTATGTATCATTGGTACAACTACCAAATTGAGTATCTCAGAATTCTTAGAGAAAAGGGTTAGAAGTCGTTTTTCTCAAAGAGTAATATATGTTCCAGAACCTAACGATTTAGATGATTTTGTTATTGCTACAGGAGAAAGTTTATCGCCAATGGTTCCTCGAACTTCTGACGGCGAAATTGTATATGCCAAAAAATGGAATAGTATAGTAGAAACTCTATTAAAGGATGAATCTTCGCCATTGTTTTTGGAAGTACATAAAAACTATGAAACGTTTAAATCTCAAACTGTATTGAAAAATAGTTTCATCCCATTAGTTGGTGAGTGTTCAAATTTCGAAGAATTACAAGATGCAATCACCACGTGTAAACAAATAACTGATTATGGTATTAACCAATACCAGAACGATATTACAGCAATGGTACAGACATTATCCGATCTAGAATTGGTGATATTGATTGCAGCTGCAAGAACTATTCTTAAGAGTAGAGACGAAAGTACAAACTTTAATATAACTTATGTTGAATACTCAAGTATAATCAAATCATTGAACGCCAGGATTCCATCTACCAATAACCTAAACTCCACAACAGATAAAATTCTGGACAATTTAGTAAAATTGTGGAGTAAAGAAGATGTGAAAAATGTTTGGGAAACATTACAAGAATTTAAATTCCTTACCGAAAAGGGTGCGATGGGTCTAAGAGAATCTTCCCTTGCTGTGTTTTATGCAAGTAATTATTTAATTCAAACGAGTACGATACCATTCGATCTTAGAACTTACAATATGCAAGTAACCCTTCATGATCTAAGGGGAATTGTATCAAAATCATCCATGTTTTATCCTTGGACTCAATTATAGAAAGAATAAGTAAAAGATGGATATTCGAATATGTAATTAATATGTAACACTACAATAAACGTATCCACCATCAACCATTCAACTTGTTGGTATATTTTGTTGATTGCCTCATTCTTATTCATTAATACATTATTTGTTTGTTTTTATTGACTTGCCTTGAATAAGGACAAAAATTATCACAGAATCTCATCTTTCATGATTTTGTTATGTGCCGATGAAAAAAGTAGTACAGTGAAAAAAATAAAAAAGATAGAGAGAGACAGTTAGGAAGACCACTACATACAAGAAACAATACATAAATATATATATATATTTATATATCGTTATTCGAAACCTAGGTGTACCGAATACCCTTTATTTTATAGGAATTAAAATTGCATTACTTTTTATTTTGCATCAAATAATTACTGGGTTTTTCAAACACTTTTTGCATCAAATAATTACTGGGTTTTTCAAACACTTTTTGCATACACATATACATAATCACTATAGCTATGAGTGATCCAACAACAACCAGTAACTCAGTTGCTGAGAAGCAGGGAACTACTCCAATTGTAACTCCTAGAAAATATACGATTGGGAAAATGAAGCAAATATGTACAGTAGTTACAGATCCAAAGACCGGTTTGCAATCTATCGATTTGAAGAAGAGACCTGAGGAGAATGTTTATGGTGTTACCAAGTTTTTGAAACATTATCAAGTAGAAAAAAAACTAGGCCAAGGTACCTTTGGTTCTGTTTACTTAGGAAGTCATTTGGAGACTCAAAGGCAAGTAGCTATGAAGAGGATTTTGGTTAATGAAGAGAATGATTTATTTCCTATAACCGCACAAAGAGAGATTACGATCCTAAAGAAACTAAACCATAAGAATATTATTAAACTGATAGAAATGGTATTTGATTCACCTCCCGATTCACAATCTGGTGATGGAGATGTTTCTAAGGAACCAAATTCTCTAAACTCCACAACCAAAACTAATAATAAATTTTTTTATATGATCCTTCCATATATGGTCTCTGATTTGGCTGGTATATTACATAACCCTAGGATAACTTTAACAATGTCTGAGATTAAGAATATTATGTTACAATTATTAGAAGGGATCAATTATATGCACTGTACCAAATATATGCATAGAGATATTAAGACCGCAAATATTTTAATCGATCACAATGGTACGGTAAAACTTGCAGATTTTGGGTTAGCAAGATTATATTATGGGTCACCACCAAATTTGAAATATCCTGGTAGTGCAGGAACTGGTGCTAAATATACTTCTGTTGTAGTGACAAGGTGGTATAGAGCCCCAGAGTTAGTACTAGGTGAGAAGTATTATACGACAGCGGTAGATATTTGGGGTGTTGGTTGTGTATTTGCAGAATTCTTTGAAAAGAAACCTATTTTACAAGGGACCACAGATATTGATCAAGGACATGTTATCTTTAAGCTAATGGGGACGCCAACTGAAGAAGAATGGAAGTTAGCTAGATATTTGCCGGGAGCTGAGTTGACAAAGACCGTGTATAAGAGTACTTTAAAGGAAAGATTTGGCAAATATCTTGATGAGAATGGGTTGAAATTTTTAGCCAAATTGTTGTCATTGGATCCATATAAAAGATACACAGCAGCAGCAGCCAAGCAGGATGATTTCTTTAAGAATGAACCACTACCAGTGGAACGTTTACAACTATTGTGTGAAGAAAGTCATGAGTCTGATATCAAACGTTATAAAGAAGAGATGCACCAAAATATGTCACAGAGAGCACCAACGGCACCTCGGGGTCATGTTAACGATGCAGATTCTAACTCAAGAAGTCAATATGATAGGTCAGCACAACACAAACCTCCAATGAAAAAGGCACCACCGTTAGGACCATCTAGGAAGACACCAAGTCATGTTGGAGAAAATAAATTATCTAATGTAGAAGAGAATTCTGCCGCAAAGAAACCTTCTAGATACAATACAATTAATATAGCGAAGGAAGTAAGTTCACTGCCTCCAAGACCTAATAAGATGCCTTTACCTGATGCTCATCAACCAATATCAAGATTCAATAAAACACCAACTAATACAAATACAAATGAGCAATTAAGTTTTAACGACCGTAACAATGGAAACACAGGATACAATTCTAGGCCTAACAACAATCGTAATGCTAATGCTAATGCTGGAAGATACAACCAAAACAACTATAACGACTATAACCAAAATGATGGTTGGTATGATAAAGAAACGAATGCTAGATCGATTAGTTTCAATCAATCGAGGTTCCAACGTACAAATAACAATAACAACAATAATAACAACAAAAACAAAAACAACAATAATAATAACAAAAAGACAAATTCTAAAACAGGAACGATAGAGATCACAAGAACACTAGAAATTAAAACAGACGGTAAGATTGAGCAAAACAAGAGCATTTCTAACTATAAACGTAGAAATAGTAGTCAGGGCAAGAGATATGAAAAAAGACAACGGAATGATTATGATTATGGGAATAATGGCAATCAAGAGGAAGATATCTCTAATTTGTACTAATGTAAGTTTATTACTACATCTGTATATAAATAGGAAAACGAAAATAAAAATAAATAATATGAGTTTATGTAGGCTTTTTTGACTTCCTTTTTTGAACGCTTTTGAAAAAGAACTGGTAGGAGTATATAAGGATAAATAATAAAAGGCAGATTGTTCTCTGTGGTTATCATTATTCGTATGTAGAAACTTTTCTACCAACATCAGCACGATCAAAATCTATTTCGAATTTAGAATTGATGACGTTACGTTTTTTAGAGTCAGGTCTTGAACTATTAGCGGAATCACTATCGATTGAATATCTATTAGATTGTGAGTTAATACTTTCTCCATCGAAATCAGAAGAATCCGCTGTATGACTTGGTTGAATTTGTGGAATTTCGGAACCTGTATTTAATTTCTCAGATGCAGTGAGCGCCGATAATGATTGAGATGAATTATAATTTGTATCATTTACTGATAGGGCTGCTAATTTCGCAGATAATTTACTGCTGGAACCATCAAATTGACCACGAAGTGGATCACCTTGAGCCATGAGTACTCTATTACCATTAACAATTGGAGGTGTTACAGATGTACCTCTACTATCGATATGAGAGTCAATATCAAAGAATCTAAATCCGCTATTTGGATGGTGATGATTCCCATAAAGCGATTTTTTGTTATGTGATAAATGATTTAGTTGGGCGGAAGATGGAGATGGGCTATGTTCATTTGAACTTTGACCATCCATCTTACTCTTAATAGCATTATCCAATTGATATAATCTATCTACACCGGGACTAATCTTTACCCCCGTTCTATTTTGATCCAAAGTTCTTGCTTCTTTCCAATATGAACGAATCTCATGAAGTACCCACACTAACATAAACATGAGTCTATCACCTTGTCTAAACTGTGATGTCACTGTAATATCACATTGATCGTCCTTAATAATATAACCGATACCGAATCCCTGTGGTACAACTGGGGTAATACCGAATGTTGTAGTGGCACTATTACCACAATTAGCCACTATCAATTCTGGTTGAGAAAATGGAGCAATGATACTATTATCAAATAAATTTGCTGCAATCTTCTTATCGTCCTCATCTAAATCAATTCCATAATGATCATGAAATTTATATAAATATTTTAAAGCGTTAAAATGTTTTTCATAACTTGAACCTGCTTTAGCCTTTCTTATATTTTGACTATGAGAATCACAAGTATTTAAGAATTTTTCTAATTTGCCTGGACCATTAATTGAATTTGAAATAAATAATTGACATAATTCTAATAATTCTTGAGTTTGAACATTAATAAATGAGGATCTTGAATTTCTAAATCTTCTTGTTGATATTGGTTCTAATGAAAATACCATTTTCCCATACAAGGAATAATGAGCAATTTGAAGAGCCACTTGAATCATTGAATCCGGTTGAATACCTAATCTTAAAGCTGATCTACGACCAAATGGCACAGATGCATGAATAATATCATGTTTTGATATTAAATCAGCTAATTTTGTCTCGGATAAATGAACATGAGTATTTAAAATATTACTAAATGACCAATCGATTTTAAATACAATATTTTTAATTTGTGATTCATCTAAAGTCATTGTTCTTTTATCCTTTCTAATTAAATCGTTTGGAATTGAAGATTGTTTTACTGTTGGCCATAAAGAAAATTCAGGATCACCTGCATTAACATCTTTAGCTAGTCTTAAAATCGATTCAGTATAAGTTTCTGAAGTAAATCTTAATACGGCAGATCCATCACAAGTGAACGAATCCCAAATGACTGCAGCTTTTGAATCCTTTGTTACAACTAATTGTAATTTATCATACCATCTCGATACACATGAACCAACTTGATGACCTTTACGATCAATAATCGATGTACCATAAAATAATCTTTTACAATTAATTGAAGATTCTTGATTTGTATCTTTATTAATTGGTTTATAATCATAATCGTGAACAATTGAATTAATTACCTCTGGATCATTATTAATTAGATCAGATTCATCAGATTCATCTAATACCAGTACAAACAAAGCGGAATCAATTAGATGTAATTCTTCTGGATATCTTTTTTGTAATCTCTTTCTTGCATACTTCCAATTTTTAAAACTATGAGATGTTAAAGAGCCTAATGCAGTCGATGCTCTAAAATTATAAGTCTTTTCAGAATCCTTAATAATATAATTGAAAAAACTTGTAAATTCATTTGATGTATATAATAAATCATTTTCATCATCTAATACATCTATTGTATAATATTGTCCTTTTGAAATGATGACAATATGACGAGATTCGGGATAACGTGCAATAGTAATACCATTACGTGTAAAACAATCTTTAACTTTTTTTTGTTCAGAATTATTATCATTTTCTGGAATACTTTCATTTGAAGAAAATTCATCCTCTTCATCATCTTCATCATTTTCTAAATCTGAAATTGTATAAGGTTTTTGTAAATCAAAAGTTTCAACTTCACCATTTTGGAAAACAGGTGAACGTGTTGTACCAAATAAATTTTTATATGGGAACATTGAAAGATGAGCAATTTTTGTTGAAGAATCTTTAATTGAATGATTTGTTACGACGTCAGGTGGTAAAATGTTTTTTTTCAAAGCAGATATAAATCTTAAAGCAGAATGAACTAATACAGCTGCTCTATCTTCTTGAGTAATACCTTTAATTGCATCATCAGCTAAGATTAAAAATGGATTTCTTGGTAAAATATCATCTTGAATATCTGTTGCGGAAGTATTATTGTTAATATCTAGATGTAATTTATCTAAATATGATGATTGATTTAAATGATAATAATTTAATTTCTCTTGTAATTTTTCTGCCACTTTTGAACTTTCAAAATTTTCAATACATTGTGATAAATCATGAATTGTCTTTGGATCTAAAGGATGTTTATAATAACCATCGGCATAATATAGTGGTTCTAAAGATTTTTTCAAATGGTTTAAAGTCTTATTTAATTTTGGTAGCGGTAATTTTGGTAAACTTTCTTCATAAGCGAATGTCTCAGCATTAATTTCATCTGTTGTACCAATTGCCATGATTTTAAAGAAGAAAAAAGAATTAGTGTAAGTGTGTGTTTGTGTGTACTTATATTTTGTTGGTTAAAAAACAGGGTAAGTTATTCCCTTAATAATAGTCATTACAATATGAACAAATAAATCAGTTTACAACTACTACAGCTCCATATATATATATATATATATATAATTACAAGAAGAAATGACAGTTATACTTGTGACAAAATTTGAAGTAAATATGGAATTTCACTTCACAGTATTGTTATTACCAATCATACGAACTAATTTCCTTTAAAAGTGAATGACTCTCTCTCAATCGAAAACATGCAGCGCAAGAAAGAAAAAAAAGAGTTATTCCGGAAATCGCTCATTCCATGAATTATTGGAGTTATCACGTAGATGGAAGAATAATGAACGTGATGACTGATCATACTTTATTGTTTACAATCCACTGTATCGATTATATCTAACTCCAATCGATACACTTTAGTATAAACTTGTTTCTGTTGTTAATACTGTGAGATGTTGTTGGAGTATTGCAGCGTATATATATATATATACATGTAGATAGTCACACTTTTTTTCTTGTGTCCCCTGCTCGATAAACTTGTTTGAATGTTTTCAGTGCAAAAACGGCCGTGACACAGCGAATGCTCGCGGTGTGCGCGTGCGTGTGTCTCGGTGAAATGGAAGGGTGTGGGTGCGTGGGCTGTGTGGGTTTTTCGCTATAGCGGCAACGGCTTAGCACAGGTGGGCGGAAGATAAGGATAGATCAGTTTAGCTTATATAAAAGTATATCATATATATATATATATATTGAAATCATTTCTTACCTAGTTTGGCTGCGACATCTGCTGCTTCTTGGAAACCATTGATTAAACCACTCTTAACACCGTGATCTTCCATTTTACATAAACCTGCAATTGTAGTACCACCTGGTGTACAAACTTGATGTTTTAATACACTTGGATGTTGTCCGCTTAATTCCAACATCTTTGTTGTACCTTCCATAACTTTCGTAGCACATTGTAAAGATTCTTTGAATGGTATACCCATTTTAATACCTGCTTCTGTCATGGATTCTAACATTAATAAAACAAATGCTGGACCAGATCCAACCAAGGATGTAGCGGCATCCATATTACGTTCAGGTAATTCAATGCATGTACCAACACGATCAATTAGTTCTTTAACTAATGTCTTATCTTCAGTTGATGTCTCTGTAGAATGAGATACAACTGCACATCCATATCCATAACGTGCTGGCGTGTTGGTCATAATACGGGAAACTTTTTTACTATATGATTGTAATTGTGAAATTGTCCAACCTGCAACAATTGATATAATTAATTTATTACTAATCTCTGGTGCAACACCATCTAAAACTTTTTCAGCTAAATATGGTTTGGTACCTAATAATACAACAGAAGATTGGGATACAGCTTCATTATTACGAGAATGAGTAACACTAACAGTAATACCATTTGGTGACTCACCCATTTCTTTGACTAAATCTTCAACTTGTTTAACAGATGCATCATCGTGATTACATGCAATAATATGAGTTGGATATAGTAACGCAATTTTGGAATCTGTAACTTTTGGTGCTTTATAAATCGCAGAAAGAATCGCTTGACCCATAACACCACATCCTAAAATTGTTAAAGTATAACCCATCTTTGATACTAATTTATTGTTTACTAGCTTAATTGTATTCTTTGAAAACAACTATATATATATATTAATTTTATGTATTTGTGTGTGTGTGCTTCCCTCTTTATATATATACACTATATTTACGTATTTCTAAAGAAAAAAATTGGCGCTTTTTGGGCTCTGTTTATTCGTTCGTTCGGTGAAGAAGAAAATTTTTCTGTAAAAAAGCACGGGGGGAACCAAAGAAGCCTGCCTATCGAACTACCCACTTTTCTTGTTTTATAGTGTTGTTGGTATGACGTATTCATTAATTAAGAAATGTAAAAATTCTTCAATTTCTTTAAATTCTGTAAATGTTGTATCAAATAATACATTGTCTTTCTGTTCCTCATATATTACATGAATTACGGCATTACAATAATTTGTGGTACGTAATGTCACTCTTAAAATCTGTTCTTTTGGTAAAACTATTGTTAATTGTGTTATTGGCATCTTTAATAATTGATTAAAGGATTGAATATCTTGATCTAATTGTTCAATGTGTTCATCCTGTGCACGGACTTCATTTGCTTGATTCGAACTAGTATCGCGTTTCTTAGTAACTGTAATCGAACTGTCTTTAATAATATCTAATACATTTTCTCGAATGATTCGTAATAATAATGTCTTATAATTTTGATGACGTAATGTGCCTAATATTGGTCTAATTAATAATAATCCATCTGTAGATTTACTACTATTGTTTGTAGATATATGAGAACTAACCGATTTTAAATGACCAGGTAATAAACGACGTTTTAAATTCTTTTTAAATACTACAACTAATAATATTCTTAAAGTTATTAATATTAAATTCGCACGTTTATCATTAATTCTTGTAGCGGTACCACCATTAGATAAGCTACCGCCTTCACATTCATCTTCAGCAACACTAACTAATTCAATTTCAAATTTTTCTTGAGGTAATTCAATTGTAATTTTATTTTCATTTTCAATTCGTACACCATATGAAATTAATGAACTACATTCTTTCTTTAATTGATACATTAATTCTTTTTCAAATATAATATCTTTAAATTTATGAATTTGAGAACGAATGGTACCCATTGTGAAAAATTTTGGATCAACATTACTTTCACCACTTAAAATATAATCATCCTCATATTCAATCTTGGTAAATATACGTACCCTTAAGAAATATTTCATTGATTGATGAGATCCATCATTAATTCCATTCTCGACATGATTAATCATTGGAACTGTCACCGCTGGAGTCGCATTTATTCCTCCTATCATATTTTTTATACTACCACTCGTCGCAGTATTACCACTTTTTGATTTATTATGTAAGCTTGATGAATTACTTTGTCTAGATGAATCTCCACTAAATGGTACCAGTTCCAATTTATTTAATTCTTCGTTATTTCTTAATAATGCTACTCCACGATCTAATCGGTAGGTGGAACCACTATCTTCGTAACCATATTTGATTCCAAGGACTCGTTGCGCACTACCACGTTCACGGACTTTGAAGACAACATCACTATTGGTGACCACTTCAGAGATCATCTTCCAATATGAATGTTCTTTAGCTAAGATTGACCATAGGGATTCTGCAGTATCTCTTAATATAGTACGTGATTCATCTAACGATTTTAATTTCCAACCTACACCAAATTGAATAGTTTGTAATTGAGTCTCAATATCTGGTGGATTATTAACACGATCACCATTTAATGATCCCATCGGGATTGTCCTCTTTAAATAAGGTGATAGAGAACTCTTGGCATTATTCTCTCGTACTGCCGATAAGAGTAAAGATACGGTCTCTAAAGCTAACGAGGATTCATTCATAGCTGTATTGATTTGTTCGACCATTGTTGAACGGATGGATTCTAATGTTGTAGAGTCCGTTGGTTCAACTGTTGATGTTGTTGTAATTTTGTTTGTAGTTGGTTCCGTGGAAGGAATTAATGATGACGATGATTGTTCTACTTCTTCATCTTCATTTACTTCGTGTTGGTCAGTATTATTTGGAATTCCATCCCTTACATCAATTGGTTCAACATCTGGAGATGGTATATCTGTGATCTCTTCTTCTATCTGTGATTCTAACAATTGTGCAAAAGTCATTTGTTTCTGTTGTAGGATTAAAGGAACCAATTGTGGTAATGGCATATTACCATACTGTTCATATGGATTATTTACTAAAGAGCCTACATTTGGTTGCTCTACAGTAGTGCCTGATGTGGATTCATTAGTGATGGGACTTCCTGTAAAGCTGGTTGGTGATGTTGATTGTGGTGGATTTTTATGTAATGATAATAAATTTGGATCCAATGCAAGATTTATCCCATTTGAAAGATTTGGACTACTCATATTTGGCTATTGAGTTTGATTGCAGTGTGTGTGATTCTGCTTTTGGTAATGCTTGATTAATCTTGTTATTCGTTGTTGTATTTTGTTAGTTATCTTTCACTGCTTTTTCTTATTCTATAGATATATATGTATTTTTTTTTTTTTTTTTTTTTTTTTTTTTTTTTTTTTTTTTAAAAAAAAAAAAAAAAACCCACCCACAAATAAAATTTTTATACGACAAGATTTC